CTGAAAAGTTCAAGAACCCGGTCTGAATGGGATGGTGAAAAGTTATTTATGTTTTAAATTTGACAATAACAAAAAGGAGAAGAAGAACAAAAGGGCACTGAGGAGTTTTTGTACTCGTCTAATATTTAGTGGTGGCTTGACAAAAGAAAAAAAACCCTAGTGAATGTTGAACTTGAGTAAACGAACTGCTTAGTTTTTTTTATTTGCCTGGTTTCGGGTCCTGAGCCAGACCTTTTCCAACCATGAGGGGAACGCCAACACCTTTTTCCTCTTTCCTTTTCCTCCCATTCTTCCACCTTTGCCTTCATTGCAAGCCAGTTGATTATTTCAACAACTGCAATCAACACAGTTCCCTCTTTGCGTCTGAGTCACAAAGAGGCAACAAGAAGAAGAAGAAGAGGCTTTTGTTTTATGATCCCTATGGCAGCCATGTCAGCGGAGTGTCATGCGAGGCATCGCTGTGGAACGTTCGAGTGCAGCGTTCGTCTGTCTTCGATTGTTCAGCGTTTCAGTCGGGAGACTTTGAAACCCTCTCCGGAAATAATCGGGAGGCAGTGAGGGAGTTGATTGTGTTTTTCCGATGATGAGTCATCAGGAGGTTTCAGTGGACCCCTCCTGACCACACACGCCACCGCGCGCCCATGAAAGCCCAACTGAAAGCACATGCACAAGCCACAGATGTTCCCAAACCAACAAATCTGCTCATATTTTACTGTTGCACACACCCTCATGCGGAGAAAGATTTTTTTTTTTAAAACAACAAAACAAAACATGAAATCAAACAGGTAAGCAAAGGATCCCACAACATCCAACTCCTCCACAGCATCGTCCGTCTGTTCTTTCCCATCTCGCCCACTCGATTTTTTTTTTTTTTTTTTTTTCGATTCAAAAGACCAGAAGCCCAATTAGTAGAGCTCTGACGGCAGGTGTCCCCACGCTGGGAACTGTCCTCTTTTCACAAAAACGAAGGGATTTCTCCCAGGTTGTGGCCAGATTGGGAGCAAAGAATCTGCAGGGCTGCTGGTCTGTTAACTTTGGCTCAAAAACAATGCAGCGCTGTCTGAAGAGGGGCAACAGACAGAAGGAGCAGAGGTCATGTTTTGCCCCCTCTGTGTGACCCGCAACGGCGCGGTGACATCACGGCGTCACTCCGGAGGGCGCGGCAGCTTCTGGAACGAGGAGGAAGCGTCGTTGAGAATCACAATCACTTCATGTGATTGGAAGGAGCAGCAGGGAAGACAAAGTGGAGCAAAAATAAAGTTAGACAAACATCTTCAGTTCAGTTAGACGAGTCCTTATTGTATCTGTTCATGGCTTGGATTGTTCTTCATTTGGCATATGTGGAAAAAAGTGCTGTAATTTGAATAGCTTTAATAATCCATTCTATTGGCAGCTTTGTCAGTAAAATGTGTGCTTTACTAAAATAAATTCTTTTGGTTCAGAAATGCGATATTTAGTAGTAACACTATTGATAGTGCTGGTGTGGTGAACGCTTTCGTGTTTTTTCTGCCATGGTGCGTCTCAGGCGACAGTAGAGGGACGTTTAAATGAGCCGATGAATGAAGAAACTTTAACTACATACTTTATCTAAAACAAAAAGTGTCTGCCCGATGAGTGAATACAGGGAAACACAACAGAGTCAAACTGCCTGCAACTGCAGCCAATTATTAAATTCAAAACCCTTAAGTTGAATCTGTGAATGCAATTTAAAAAGAGACGTAAGAGATTACTTTAGCGACAAAACGGTGATTCCTCAAGAGCAGTTCTGTGCATCAAGTCATCCATGAGAGGACTTGACTTTTTTGAGAACTTTGAACAGAGCACAGCGATGTCAGTAGTGAAGAGCACAAAGCTCAGCATTTCTCAGACTTAATTGATCTAAATTACCCTTAATTACACAAACCTTAGGTATGTTTGTATGTGTGGGTGTGAGCCTGTGTGTGTGTGTGTGTGTGGTTGTTTATCCTGTGTTGTCTTGTGACGGATTTGCAGCTTGTCCAGGATGTATCCTGCCTCTCGCCAAATGCCCACCAGAGATGGGAACCCCAGCGACCCTGCATAGATGAAAGCAATGCATGTATGGATGTTCATCAGACCAGAAGCATCATCTCCTCGAAGATAAAAAAATACAATAATAATTACTCTGAATGTGCCAAACAGCCAGCAACACAAATACAAAGCTGGGTAAATACAATCTGTCAGGCAGAAGAAACACTGAACAGGTTCTTTCAAGCGTGAACAACGTCTTTGAAACACACCTGCCTCTAATGGTTTTTATTTAAAAGGACAGAGTGATCACTGTTATTTCACGTTATTAAGAAATACACTAAACCAATGCCAATCTTCTGCTGTTTGGCTCAGAGCAGATCTGAAGCATGCCTGTGTCAGTTTCTGAGTCAAATATACAAGTCTTGTTATTACCTGTTAGCCAGCATGTGATGGCAGAAAGACAGAAATTCTCTCCTGTGTTGAGACTTGTGACCTGGCTTTGCTCCCCTCTTCATCAGGCTTCATTATCATCCACAATATAACTGTAATGAAGGCTTGAAAAGTCCAACGCAAGCCCTGAACAAGACACGGCTTGAAGGGCTGAATGTTCGTGGGATCAACGTCAAGCTGCAGCAGCTATAAAAACTCTTGCTCCAGCTTTGTTTTGGGATGTTGGGAGGGACGACCACATCGCCTGCTTATTTTAAGCTGCCAGTTTAACATCGGCTACAACTGAAAACAGATATATTCGGCTCTGCCGTCGCAATTTCAATCAGGCTGAAATCAGAGTTTTGTGACGCCCACCACAAAACACTCATTTGTGTCCTTTAGACACTTTGTAGATCATTTGATGGTATGCTGGGCTCATTATCCATTTTGAAGATCCATAAGTGCTCAATTTTTAACTATTTTTTTTCTTTCCTCATTCCATCAGTTGTGTGAACTGCACCAGCACCTCCTGCAGTAAAACATCTCCACCACATGACGCTGTCACTGCTGATAAAAGTACTCTATCAGCGTCAGTCACTCCTTCAGTAGATTTTGCGCTTTGTGGTTGATCCGCACAATTTGCCCCAAACATGAGAATCTCAGGGACGCTGTGTATTCGTCAAAGGAATTGTTTGGACAGATAACGACTCAGTGAAGCACACGCCGGTCTTCAGGGAGATGTACCTCCTGTCAGAACCTTGCACAGACATGACGTCCTCATCCAGGCTTTCCCAAATGTCTTAAAAGCGTGGTCATTTCAGTTCATGTAAAATTCCAAATTTGAAGAGAGTGATACAGTTTTACAAAGTTCTCATTATTTTGACATACAGACAAAGAAATGTTTTGCTGTATTTGATTTCCTCAATGCCAGACCAGTCAGTTTACTTGCCTGTTTAAACACTATGACTCGTCTTGTACTATTACTGTGCAATCGTGGTATAAGTGAATGAGAAGTTGGAATAGCTTTGTAATAATAATGCTAATATATTGAGGTATTAATTGATGGCACTGAACATTTGTTTACATTCAATGACAGCTATTTACTTACTTTACAACTTATAGTTTACAATAAATACCACCACTAAATGCTGTTATTTATTTGTTGTGACTTTTACTTATCTGTTTCCATCTAACCTATTCATATTGGAACGCAATGACAATATGAATAGTTTCTATAAGCAGTCGTCATACTGTCATCTGAGTCAATAAGTGACCAAAATACAAACAGATGAAACCAATACAGGAAGAGGTTGAATGTGACTGCTGATGTTATAGATGATATGTAAAAGGTTTTGATTGAAAGTAAGTTATGCTGCCCTCTGGAGGTCAAACTGTGTTTAGGCAGTCTTTACAACAAGTACTGTCCAATCACATTTAACCAGTCCTGCCCTACAAACAGGTGTAGACAGACAGTGGATGGATTAGTAAAAGGCCTGTCTTGCATTGGCAGCTTGTCTTGATCCAGTTTATCTCGTCTCTACTGTCAGATTTGTGCAGAATTCTGACAGTAGAAAATTCTAGTGTCCATCTTCCATTTTCTCCATCTTCTGGATGTTCATCAAAGTTACTTTTGGACTCACAAAAATTGCTTTACGCCCTTCCTGGGAAAACATTTTGTTGCTTGTGTCAAGCATGACTGCAAGAGAAAAAGAGAGCTTGTAATTTATAGTCTTCTTTGGTCAATCACAATGATTTGCGTTGCTTTCTTCAAATTTAGGCCTCAGTAACTACATGTAATTGACATTTTCAGCATGTCAACTTCAAATTGAAAATTCGAGGTGTTTTGCAACAGGTTTACGTCGCTAAAAGCTTTTAAGACTTTGTAATATTTCTACTGACTGCCACAATAAAAGCCTCACATTAAACACTCTCCTGTTGGAATCGAACCATCTTTGTTTGGATCTTCTGTATGAGTTGAGCCAGCTGATCAGTTCCTTTATGACGTCTCTCCTCTTGATCAATTTACACACTAAGTTTTAGTGATTACATAAGAGTGATATTCCATTGTGCTGCCATGGAGTCACGCATCACCCAGACCAGCAGCTGAAGCTGCAGGTCTTTTCTATTTCCTCTGCTGCTTTTCTTCCAAAAAATGTTCGTCAGTTTCCTGTTTCTGGGATTCTAAAGCCACTGTGTTAGTTTTTCTGATTATGTTAGGACGCAGCTTTGTGTGTTTGCGTTTTACTTGAGACAGGAGAAAGTCAAATAAAACATGTATGAATTTTATAGCACATTTTCAGTACCAGAAGTAGTGATGCAGTGTCTCAGGTTTTTCACCAGAGGTCTCCTCTTTCTCAAAGGAAAATGACAAAGTAGGAAGTGGCTTTCAAGGTTATTAGACAGATTCACATGAAGCAGCTTTCACTAGACTGCTGTTGAGCTCAGCTGTTCTTCCTTTGACTATTTTAATAACTTTTCATTAAACTGCAGCTGGACTTAGACGAAGAAATCAATTCTAGCATCATTTTTAGTCGTAGTACTCAACAACAGTGATGTTTCCATCATCAGCCGGATGTGTGTTGATGGTTTATATTGTCTGCATCTCAGGTACGTTGAACTGCTTCAGCTGTTTTAATTGAATTTTGTAAGTTTGTTTGATAAAACGTAGATTTGACTTGTTGAACCTTCATGCGTTGTTGAGAAATATGGTCATGATCCATAACAGTGTGACGAATGTGTGGCTTTATAGAGGACGACACCAAAACCAGACAAATCAAACGTCAGTTGACCTAATCTTTGCTTCAGGTGTTGGAGGAAAACCAAAAAGCATTTTTGCTCTGAAATGGTCATCAGTGAAGCTGAGCTGCTCAGCTCAACGCTCAGCTGCATACATCACATGGTACATCGTGAGCAAGAAGGATGCAGAGTATGTTTATCAAAATGTGTCTGCACATGCAACTCATGAAGAGTTCAGTTTATCAGAGGATCATTTCACTCTGACAGTCAGAGGTCAAACAGAGTGTAATAGAACTTACTGCTGCAGTGAAACGATTCCTGAAGGGAAGCCAGATGAAACCGACAGCTGTCAGCAAAACAGCATTCAGCTCCAGGTTACAGGTATGTTTTTTGTTAAATATGTTTTACTTATAAAACAATAATATTAAACTGATGCTTGTTGTTTTTTTGTTTTTTTATGAACAATATCTCAGACCTCCAGGTGAAAGTGTTTCCTGCCTCAGAGGGACAGAAAGTGACTCTGATGTGCTCAAGCAGCTGTTCTCTGACTGAAAGCCCTGCGGCCTTCATCTGGTACCAGAACGGAGAGTTCCTCTATGAGGACTGGTCCCCCTGGTACCAAGAGCTGGTCAGCAGTGATCAGGCGGTCAGATACTCCTGTGCTATCAAACGCTTCGAGGATCTCAGAGCTCCTGACGTCTCAGTGGGTCAGTGACCACGATTGGTTCATTTTCTGTCTCTTCTGGTGGGACACGTCCTGATCTCTGGTTCTGTTCAGATTCTGTCTCTGGGAGCTGCTTCAGTGTGACCTACGCCGAAGGCAGAATGTGCTCCTCCAAATCACAGAACCGGTCCTGCTCCATCACATTTCCTACAGGTGACGGCACAATCAGCACTGGTTTTACGTCGGCTCTGATTGTTCTACAGTGACTGTGGAAATATTCATACTTTATCCGCCTGTTCGCACAATCTGCTTCTAAAATTCATTACGATTAAACAGTTTGTCTTATCGACGTAAAAAGAAAATATCCAAAACATGTCCATTATGTCCCAACAGAAGTCCGTGTTGAAAGGACAACACCAGTCCTAGACCATTGCAAGATGACATGTAACTCCAGCTGTTCTCTGACTGACAGCAAAACTTCATTCCAGTTGTATACAAACACAGAAAGTGGTGAAAAGAAAGTTAATCAAAACACTTCAGTTATCATCTCATCACAAGAGAGCTTCTTCTGCACCGTGAAGGATCATCATGATATGCTTTCTAATGAAATTTGTGAGCATAAACTATTCTATAGAGTTGACATGCTGATTAAAAAAGGGAGAATTTTAATGACAACAATTATTTTAATTGATCATTCTCTCATGTTCAGGCGTCAATGGTCGCGACTGCTGGAGTGTGAGTTATGACAGCAGGAGAATCTGTGGCCTGAAGGGTTCATCAGTGAACATCTCCAGCAAATACTCACATCCCGAAGGCCAAACACCACAGACTAAACGCTGGTATAAGAAAGAGATAAATACAAAGCTTGAAGAAGAGGTGATGGAGAAGGAAACCGATGTGAATTATCAGGACATGAGGGACAAACACATCCTCATGTTGAACAACCTGGATGAGAAAAACTCAGGAGAATACGAGTTCAGAATGGAAACGGAGCAACGTAAACAGAAATCAATTGAATTTCCTGGAGTTACTCTGATTGTAACAGGTACATATGATGAGTTTTCATATGTCATGTTTTCCCAACTAAATGTGTTACTCTTGTATTGTATTCTGAAAATGTTCATGTTACAAAATTTAAAGTCCAAGTCTGGAATTTTTATGTTTAGGTAAACATAACGTTTGTACGTTTAATTAACATTTCATATCTTAAATATGACAATGAGACATAATTACCTATAGTTGGAGGTCATTTATAATAAAATTAGTAAACGTCAATTTGGTTACACCTCTTGAGCCTGTTCTCATACAACCGCAGACTAACCGTCACTCATCTCCTCACCGATTAGTCCAACTGTCTTCCAGGTCTCCTAGTGGACGTGCGACCTGCTGCAGAGGTCACTGAGGGTCAGAGAGTCACGCTGACCTGCAGCACCAGCTGTCCTCTCAGTGAAAACACAAACTACATTTGGTACTTGAACAGTCGGCCTCTGAGTCTGACTCAAACAGCAAACAAGCGTTGGATCATAGATGCAGTTAGCAGGCAGGATGAGGGAAACTATTCCTGTTCGGTTGGATCAATCAACTCAACTGGAAAGACTCTGACTGTACAAAGAACAGATACAACAGTAAACTGGAAACCAGCAGCTGCAGGACTCTCTGTGTTTCTTTTGGTCCTGGTACCGGCGACTGTTTTCTTGTACAGGTGATCATCACATCCCTGTTATTAATTATCAACATGTTACGCTCACTATGAGCTCCATCTTCATTATTTATGTTTTATCAATTTCACCAACCAGGAAATTCAAGCCCTCTCATCAGTCTTCTAAAAGTGAATCTGCCGACAATATGGACGATATGAACGAGGTAAACCTGCCTTTTCTGCTTCTTCCCTTATCCAAAGTGTTCATTTTCACTTAGAAGTGTCACCCAACGCTACACCTTTATGGTCGTTTGCTCGCTTGAATTAAAAATGTCATGTTTCTCTTTCTTTAGATATATACTGGTGGTATGTATGAAGAGTTTGAAGCTCAACCAGCAAAACAGGAGCTTCATTACAGCCAGATAGCTTTGGCGAAAATAAACCCCATTTACTCCAACTTCCAGCAGCATCAAGAGCAAGAGCATGTCTGCTACTCTGCGCTCAAAACAAGAACCAGCACCAATTCAGATTCAGCCAGATAGAACCAACAGCTGTGAGTCCAACCATGTGTTGCGTTGTTTGTTATACTTTCAAGACAAAGTTTAATTGTGGTTGAAAGTTTGATTAATAAAAAAACAAAAAATCTATATTGTTTATGCCTGCAACCTGGTGTTAACTTTTGGCATTACTATATAAGTTTGCTTCTGTGTTCAATCAACCAATCAATTAAATTGTACCTCACATTTCAGCAACAAGGCATTAATGTAATGTGAAGTCAAATGTCGTTGTTAAATTCTTGATCCATTATAGTTCGAAGGCGACTGACCAGCCGGGTTTTTAGTCGAGATTTAAAGGAAGTCAGTGTTTCCGCTATTTTGCAATTTTCTGGAAGTTTGTTCCAGAAGCTGAAAGCTGCTTCTCCTCGTTTGACTCTGGTTCTGGAGATGCGGAGCAGAACCAGAACCAGAACCAGAAGACCTGAGGAGTCTGGAAGGTTGATACAACAACAGCAGATCTTTAATGTATTGTGGTGTTAAGCCATTGCATGATTTATAAATTAACAACAGTATTTTAAAGTCTATTCTTTGAGCGACAGGGAGCCAGTGGAGGGACTTTAAAACTGGTGTTATGTCTCTATCTTCCTGGTTTTAGTGAGAACCAGGAACCGTTAATAATACCTTCAGTTTTGTTTCTTTCAGCTGGAGAAAGTTTTGGCAGCATTTATTCAGTGCTTGAATGGTTCAGTCACCTGGTGACTTCGTAATGTAGAGATGTGTATCATCCGCATAGTTATGGTAGCTAATATTATTTTGTGCTGTAAGCTTTTGTGCTGTGAGCTTGGCTCAGAATGCAGCAGTTTTGGGTTTTAAAGGACTCTGGGACACATGTTTGTAAGAACATTCAACTATGGACAGCAAGATTTTAATCAGAAGAGATTCTATTGATTTGACTCTGAAAGGCCAACAAAAATTAGGTCTTAATGCCAAGTTGAAATCTAGTAGTAATTTAGAACCTAATTTTTCAACATGCAAACTCAACAAGAACAGAGAGATTTGTTCTCTCTAATATAGCATCATATTCCTGCTGCTTGCTGATGCCTGGGCCATTTCTTACTTGTTCTGACAACTATTACAACATAGTGCCATTTTATAATTATGTCACTTTCAGTTATTATGAAAATGCTTTAAATATTAAATGTCTTAAAATAAATTTGACGTCTTAATTTAAGGCCTGGAGATTGGGCCTGTATCTCTTTAAGAAACTCTTCATTATTTAACAGTATCTTTGTCTTATTATTTTACTAAACCTAATTTTCTTTTCTTTTTGTATGTTTGTTGTGAAGGACTTTGATCAGCTGAGACTGTTGTAAATGTGACATATAAATAAACTTCGACTTTGCTCTTTATGAAACTCTGCCTTTATAAAGTGATCCCATCACTCGTTTATTAAACCTTTGACATTGTTAAACCTTCAACGTTACACTGAGAAGTAGCTCCTTCCTTTTTGAGGAAGTGAAACCGACGCTTATTCATGGGAACTCTCCGTCACACTTACAACTAAAAAGAAAAGTAACAAAGGCTATTCAAGGCAAGTTGAAGAAGATAAAAACAAATTTCACATTAAATGTGTTTTTCACACTTAATCCTGAAATATCTTTATCTGATTTTGAAACTACAGCTGACTCATCAGCAAACGGTTGCATAAGTTTATTTTTTTTGTGTAGTTTTTATGTTGGTGTTTTCTTAATGTTGCAAAGGAATATTACCTTTATTACGTTTATTTTTATTTAGGTAAAGTTATTGAAAATACCAATTGCAATAAACTGTGGCAACAAAAAACAGAAACAAATCTTATGCCAGTCGTAATAAAATTTATTACCATATAAGTAAATGTCTCAATATATGATAGAAAAAAAAACAATACAAAATCATTATTTATTTGCTTTTGTTGTGTTTGCAAGTAGCAGCAGCTCCCATGATCTGTTACATTTAAGTCTCTGCAAAAAGCTTCCAGTTCACATTATGGAGACAGAAAACATTTGGAAATAGGCAGTAAGGAGTGTAAGTGCATCGAAATAATGTAACGATACAAACGGCCTGTAAATGAAAACAAAGGATGATATGTGGAAAGACATTGTGTCAGGCAGATCTGGTGAATCTTCACAGCTGCTCTACACAGAAACAAAACCCAAGAAACCCAAGTGTGAATATTTGAGGGTAAAAGAAAACGTGGCTTGAAGCGCTTCTCTTCAACAAAGTGAAGACAGGGAAGCAGCAGCAGACGCTGACAGTTTCTGTGCGATTCTGTTTTTACCACTTCCTCCATGGTTATACTGGAGAAGTTTTATTGTAAACTTTCTGGTAGTTTATCTAAAAACTGTGAACAGGGTAAAGAAAGCAGAAAACGTGGTCAGTGCTAACTAAGATCAGTGCTAAGGTCAGTGCTACACGTCTCTCCCCTTCATAAATTCATGCCAAGTTACTTTCAGTGCCAGATCTCTGTCAGGTTTGAAACTTCCTTTGGTTCACGATTATTTCAGTCGAAAGTTTCGGTGGTTTCTCACACAGGCCCTTCAGGAAGCAGCAAAAATCGTTCCTCATCTTAGAATACTGGCTGTTCTTGTAGATTGTTAAATATCTGCAGGTTTATGTCTGTGCTCCTTCTCCGTCGTCTCTTTCTCCTGTCAGCCTCACAGCAACGTTTTCGCCAGGGATTGAAGCACTTCCCGTTTCTCAAACAGATACATCTGCGTTTCCCATAGCATGTTCACCAGAACCTCGTCGCTCACTTCGTCCAGCATCACCTCCTGGGACAGCTGGGGGCTCAGTCTGCACAACGAAACATGCAGATAAATTCACTTATTACTGCAGCACTTGGCAAATCTGTTTGAAGGCATTGTACCTTTAAGTATCAGGAGGAATCACATTTTTATGTGCAAAAACTTTTAACTTCGTCTGATTTTAGGGAAGTTAAAAGTCCCGTTTGAAAAAAAAAAGTCTCTTCCTTTTATATGCTCAATTAATTCTGGTTACTTTTACAAATTCACACTCATACTGAAACCGTAAACTTTAAAGAGGTTGGCACCAGAAATATTTATAGGACATTTTAATTTAGTCATCTCTGAAGCCTTTTTAGGACATTTCCTCATCGAACTCATGTCACCTACACTGCACCACTACAGACTACTCGCTCAAATTCTGTATCCTATTCCCTAATTTAACAAGTATTTGATAATCATCTTTTAATCTGGTCAAATTTAGTTGAGTGCATGAGATGAAAACACTTACTGAAGAGTCTCAGCAAAGACACAACGCGCCATGTGAGCGATGCGTATAACTGGTGGGACCCTCAAAGGGCTGATGCTCTACGCCACCATCTTTATGCAGGCTCAATAAATCCCAATCACTCAGTTGAGTAAATGCAGGACGTTTACCAATTATCTTCTTCATCAGACGCGAGTCGGCTATTTGGTCATTTGTTGGATTCTGTAGACGTTCACTGCTTCCTCACAAGGATAAGTAGTCATTTGACTCAGCAGTTGTAAGCATGAAAACGTGCGAAAATGTCCCACAAGGGTTTTGACAAAGAGATGTGAATTAGCGGACATGTTGGCAATAAAAAGGGAAGTGAATAAAAACTGAAAAATCAGGATGTAGCAAAGAAAGTGGCATGTTGGCGATCGGCTGACCTGTGGTAGATGGTGTCGATCATCTCACACCAGGCTCTAGCCCGGTCCACGGCGCAGCCATCAGAGTCTGTACACTGCGCATCCAGACAGGTTTTGAATTTAAGACAAAACGGACGATGCAGAACGTTTTGATTATGAATCATGAGTAAAAAATAAAAAATAAGACGAGAAATGTCTTCAGCTCGGCGTAAGATGAGAGCGGTGCACTCACACAGTCCACCAACATTTTGCCCAGCTCCTTGGCGCCTACGAACGTCTTGGCCAGCTCCAGAGGGTTGGAGGGTCGGAAAACGTCCACGGAGGTCACCACTTCCTGTGGAGGTTTGCCTGGAAAGACACAACAACGCCAGTGACTTCACCCGGAAACTCTAAAACCCATGAACGATGTTCATGTGAAAATAGAACTGAAAGCAAGTTGTATTTCGTAAAAATTTGCAGTTACAAATCCACACTCATACTGAAACCGTAAACTTTAAAGAGGTTGGCACCAGAAATATTTATAGGACTTTTTTTTTTATTTAGTCATCTCTGAAGCCTTTTTGGACATTTCCTCATTGGACTCATGAGGAACACAAACGGCACACAAAGGCAGTTTGTGTCGTTTTAAATGCTGATTGCATTTAAAACATGATGGATGCAAGTGATTAAAACTTTCACAAGCTGACCTTTCAGTCACATCATTTGTGGTTTTTCGTCAGACCCACCTGTTCCAAGAGAAACAACAATCCCCAGCTTCTTGATGTTCGCTGCACGACCCTGAGAAAGACGACAAATAAACATCTGTAGAACAGCTCAGTGCGGCTTTACACATACGGATGAGTCAGCAACACAAACGCTTGCAAATCTGCTACCTCAGCTTTTAATGACTTGTTGAACTGATGGATTTCTGTCATGGCGTCTAGCGTCGGGTTATTGGCCAACAGCCCTCCGTCCAGGAAGCGGCCCATTGGTCGGAAGTAGGTGGGTGCGGCGCCGCTGGAGCGGGCGGCTCGCCATACGAGTTGTTCTGACGTAAAGACACAGATTACGTTGAGGCAAAGAAGTTTGACGCTTTTAGGTTTAAAGCAGAAGGCTTGACCTGGGAAAATAGATGAGCTCACAAAGGACTAAAGTTTTGCTTACATGCTATTTAACAATACTTTTTTTCATGTGTTTTTATTCACATCCTATTGGATTAACAGACTCAATTAATCCCAATCTGACCTGAGGAACGTGGCTGATCCTTTCAGTGGGTTTTTGGTCTTTAAGCTTCAGAATAAATTTAGGAACTTTTGAGAACTCTGATCTACTATAAAATTAAGGCAAAACAAAACTGTTATGTCTCTTTTATGACTGTGCTGATTCTTCATGAGCTTTATCTCAAAATACTTAAAGGGCCGGTATTATATATTTTCCAGGCACGTAGCACCATTTTATAGGACGGCTTGAACAACTTGATAGCAGCAGTTTTATTAAGCCGCTTCATTTCAAGCAGCTTCAGCTTTCTGCATGTTTAAGAAAATAAACTTCTTTACGCACAGATTGCCATGTTAGTAACACCGCTTTAATTCACAGATATGAAAAACACACAAAAGAAGAGACGCTTGATCTGACATTAAGGCCTAAATGAACAACATTTCAAGACATTTCAGGCTTTTCGTTGTGAACTATTTCATGACTCAACTTTCTCCTACGTACATCGTCTACACACCTTCATCTGTCACCTTCCTACGCTTTCTGGGCGGCTCATCTGTGTATCCTACTATCAACACATCCTCATCCTCCCACCCTGCAACAACAACACGGCTGGCACTCAAACAGCACAACTGCATTTCTTCATTCATTTAGAAAATTGGAAAAAAAAAAAAAACACCTAATTCTGCAGGAGAACTGCTCACTTTGTCACCATCTAGTGGCGCTAAAGGTCCACATAGATAAAATGAGTGCGGCGAGCCACGTTTACAGTCCAGTGGGTACCTTGTGGGATGGTGAGAGGCTTGAAGGTGGCGGTGGTGGCGTAGGAGGGCTCTCTGCGGACAGACGGAAGGTCATAATTCCTGAAGATGTGGAGCTCACCTGGATGTCTGTCGGCCAGAACGCTGGTCACCATGACCCTGGATGGACAGACAGAAAACAGAAAAAGGAGAAAGGACGCCTAAGACGCTGGAGAAGATTTAATCAATCATGAGAACAGATTTATTCAATTACGAGATGACCAATACCTTTGTACTTTTAGCGTATGACTATGTAAGCAAGTAAAATTATGCTGAGATTACTTGTTTATTTTTCAAATAAAGTATGAACAAATTTGCTGATATTCCTTTGGATTTTTTTGTTATTTAATGACCGTTATGCTAATGCCAGCTATAGTTAGCGTCACAGATTCCGTTGAGGCATTCAGCCTTATTAAAGCGAGCGAACATGCTGGAGGGCAGCCTGGGGTCGCAGTTTGGATCGACCTGCCTGCTTATCGTGCAAATTATGGAAACGTATAAAAGAAAACCATCAGAGACAATTTACGTTACAAGATCTGATGGTGACAAATCTTGTCAAATGTTTAGTCACAATCATCTCCGTCTGAAAGTTTGTGGGATTATCATCAGGTAATTTTTTTTAAACAAAATATTAATCTGAATGAATAAGTAAAGCAAAATCTGATTTGTGTTAACTTCTTCCTGGGATACTCATGTTTTATTTAACATGGACGAAGCACCAACACATTTATGCATGTTTGTAATTGTTGTTCTGGTGAATTAAAGCATTTTATCATTTCCTGCTTTACAAATATTTGAAATGTTCTTAATGCCACATGATTTAAACCTTGGGAATCTGATGTCTGTCATCTTTGTGTTCTCTCCAAACTCTTTCTTCAGGAAGTCCTCCAGCGGTGCCGATTCATACGGCCTGGACCCTCTGAACACCTGCTCCTTCATTCTGAAGTACAGGCAGCGCAGGTACTCCATGGACTTACCTTCACACAGAAGAGACAACCTTTTAGTTCTGGCGGCACACACACACACACACACGCACGCACGTACCCACACACACACACACACCAAGGTAGGAAAACCGAAAACACACCATGGACTATTGCTAACGCGAGGATGCCTCCGGTGCTCGTCCCAGCGACCCAGTCGAAGAGCTCCCTGGTCGGCCGACCCGCCTCCTTCTCCAGGGCGATCAGCATCTGGATCAGAACCAGGCCTTTGATACCACCACCGTCCAAACATAGCAGTCTGTCTATCCTGCAGGCAAAATTGGATTAAATGCTGTTAACAATTAAAAAAAATTACAAATAAATTACATAAATGTATAAATAACAAGACATTATGACATTATAGACTGAAGAATAGAAGGAAATGTATTGTGAAAACTTAGAGTAACTCATTCTCAACAGTGGAGGCTGAAAAATGTTATTTTGGTGAAAATTTCACCGACCTCAATATTTCCACTAAATAGACAAAAATAAGTAGCATGTTTGATGGAGGAAAATCCTTTCAGACTGTGAGCTCACAGCAAGATGCCAGAGAGCATCAAACTACACTTCAAAATATTAAGACAATTCATTCAATTTCACATAATTATGGCCCTGGAAGCCATTTGACGTTTGTTGTGACGTTTACTGCAAACAAACGAGGTAATTAGTCCGAGTTTGTCGTTTATTGAACGTTCAGAAACTCCAGCGGCTGTGATGAACCACAGCGAAGGTCAGCAAAGGTGGCACAACCCGAACAGGTGATCAACTCGAAACCACTCGCACCTTTTTACTCTCTCTCCGTCGTTTAAGCACACCCGTTGCCGTGGCAACCGCCTGCGCCCCATAAACCGAGCATTGATGACTTTAAAAAACATGACATTCAGTCTGTTACGATATCGCTTTTTCTTGTTGATGGAACCGAAATGCAGTGAATTGCGCAACAACTCATCGAAACAATCAATACTGAGATCAATAATTTGAACACGTTTTGTTGATTTTTTTTTTTATCCTTTAATAAAGTTACAAATGTTTTAGACCTTTGAATATTTTGATGTGATCGGTTTCTCGTGCAAGCATCGGCCGATCATCCAAAATGAAGGAAATTAAATTTCGCTCTCAACAAACATTTCACACACTTACTTCTTTTTCTCCGCTACTTGTCCATCAATTTCAGATTTTCCGATTGCTCCGATTGCAGCCCCGACGTACAGGATGTCCTCAAACCCTGTGAAACACACGCTGTCAAAATGATGAAAAAGCGAAGAGGAGACTGGGATTCCTAAAAGCTATGAAGCCGTTCGAAAAGAAGCATCAAGCATCACTTTAAAATAGCAAATTATCAATCTTGATGCTGCACTTGTACTAAAAGTGGATTAGTTGATATAATTTCAGAGCACTCGGAAATTGCAAGCAATGCCTTAGTGTAAACACAGTCATATTTGATCAAATGCAATAATAAGAGGCCCATTAGTCAGATTAACCGTTTGTTTCAGTGCTAAAGCTCCTGAAACAAACGGGTCTTCTCAGGCTCCTGGGTGCTGCCGTTACCTATGGCTCGAGGCTTGGACTTGTTTGAGACCGGAGGAGGAGGCAGAGGAGGAGGGCTGCTGGGGGAGCGAGGAAGGCAGCGCTGCACTCCTACACTACACAGCATGTCCAGCAGGATCTTTCTATTAGGACCTTTCAAGTTAGTACAAAACACAAGCCAACATGGTGGGCATGCAGGCATGCCACGAACACAGGACAGACAGACAGACAGACAGACAGACAGACAGACAGACAGAGAGGGAAATCAATTGAGATGGAGAGATAAGCAACAGACAGAGAGGAGGGAGAAGAGTAAGCAGAGAGATTTGCAAACGGTTAGCAATCATCATGCATCTTCAAAAAAACAACAACAAAGAAATCAATAAATGACAGGAAACTCCATTAAGCATCATTTTCCACTCGGAACAAAGTCAGATTTTACTGGAAGCTTCTTTATGAGTCGACAACAGATCCATTTAAAAAAAAAAACTAATAATAATCATATAATAACAATGTTTGGATCATCTGGCTGACTCTGTGAGCTGAATTTCACAACTAATTGGTTAAAATATAACAAATAACAGTTCAGCTCCTATGTTGTGTGGCTTAACATACACTTCAATGGATCGAATATATATATATATATAGATATATATATATATATATATATATATATATATATATATACATATATATATATATATGTATATATATATATATATATATATATATATATATATATATAGCCTCATCGAGGTTACCAATTGCTTGTGGTATACCTAGGTACTTGTAACTGTCCTCTATGTCTGCTATTGTTCCTTGTGGAAGTGAGACTCCTTCTGTGCGGATCACCTTCCCCCTCTTTGTGATCAGCCGACCACACTTCTCTAGTCCGAATGACATCCCAAAGTCCGTGCTGTAGATCCTGGTGGTGTGGATCAGTGAGTCAAACAAGCCCCTACATGGGATTTACCACCAGCAAATAACCCAAGTGGCTGATATCAGTAAATCCTACCAATGGCTGGAAAAAGCTGGACTCAAAGACAGCACAGAGGCCCTCATCCTGGCCGCCCAGGAACAGGCCCTAAACACCAGAGCAATAGAGGCCCAGATCTACCACACCAGACAAGACCCAAGGTGTAGGTTGTGCAAGGAGGCCCCTGAGACAGTCCAGCACATCACAGCAGGGTGCAAGATACTGGCAGGGAAAGCGTACATGGAGCGACATAACCAAGTGGCAGGCATAGTGTACAGAAACATCTGTGCAGAATATGGACTGGAAACCCCGAAATCAAAGTGGGAAACACCCCCAAAGGAGGTGGAGAACGCCAGAGCTAAGATCCTGTGGGACTTCCAGATCCAGACAGAATGGTAATGGCGAACCAACCAGACATTGTCGTAGTGGATAAACATCAGAGGAAAGCCGTTGTGGTAGATGTAGCAATACCAAGTGATTGCAACATCAGGAAAAAGGAGCACGAGAAACTAGAGAAATACCAGGGCCTCAGGGAGGAACTGGAGAGGGCCTGGAAGGTGAGGACCACAGTGGTGCCTGTGGTCATCGGGGCCCTCGGGGCAGTAACCCCCAAACTGGAGCAGTGGCTACAACAGATCCCAGGAACAACATCAGACATCTCAGTCCAGAAATGTGCAGTCCTTGGCACAGCCAAGATACTGCAGGACCCTCAAGCTCCCAGGCCTCTGGTAGAGGACCCGAGCTCAGAGGATAAGAACCACCCGCGGTGGGTGAGAAGGGAATTTTTTTCTATATATATATATTCCCGTCTAAACATTACAGATTAAACAGGAAACCTGTCTAATCTTTTTATATATACCCTAACCCTTTCAGACATTGGCAGGAAGCCGGAGCGCCCGGAGAGAAACCTACAAGTTTCTTTTTTATATGTCATTTATGAAATTTAATTACAAAATGTATGACTGACATTTTGTAATTACGTGTCAGAAATACATTTAATTATTTCTGAGCTTTTATTCTGAAATAAAGGCTCTAGGGAAGAGAGTTATGAGAGAGGGGATTCAAACCCAGGACTTTGTTGCTGCAAGGCAACAGTTCTCCCAACTGAGCCACTGTGCAACTGTTTTGTTCACAAAATTAATGTTTTATTCACATCTAAGGAGAATTTAGAGGCCAATTACCCAAACAGTCATGATTTTAGACTGTGGCAGGAAGCCGGAGCGCCCGGAGAGAAACCTGCAAACAGGAAACCTGTCTTATCTTTTTACCCATCCATCCCAGAAAATTTTCAGAAACTAATTTAGAAATTTCTAGCTCCTCTCAGCTTTAACGCTTTTGAGAGGAGGGGCTGGAGAAAACTTTTATTTCAAATCTATCTCTTCCTTTCTTTTTCATAGACATACAGAAATCCCTCCTGTTCATGTCTTCACTGCAGACAGCCGCTGCAGTGAAGACATGATCATCAATGGCTTTTACTACCTGAGCTCCGTGAGGTATGCATGTGTAGAATTTGGATTTGTCAGAACCATTGCAGATGACTGATGACAATTTGTAGACTTCTGGTCCATGTTCTCCCTGTACAGTGAGGGACTGGTTGGGGGTCAGTTTATTGCGCTGGCCTAGTCTGGCTGACTGCGGCAGGTGGAACACCAACACATTGTTGTTCGTCAGGCAGTGCTTGTAACTCAGCTCTGCTCCACAGCCAGGACAAATTGTTTTGAGCCCTAAAGTTAACCACCGTCTAAAAAGTGTTTGGATGTTGTCCTCAAAACGAGGTGTTGGCAGTTCAATTACAGGGCCATTGCTTAAGAGCTCCAAACAATTAGCCTGGCATGTGGAGCAGCTGCCCTGACTGAACAACTCTGTGTCGGTCTTTCCACCAAACGAGTCCAGCCAGACTAAACCAGCTCCACCAATGATCTAACTTCGAATTCCCCGCCCTTTCCCAGGTCCCTCGCTGTCAGTTCTTCCAGGATTGGCTTTATCTCCTCAGGAGAAATATGTTTGCCGGGATTGCGAATTGCTGATAGAATTAAACCAGAGCAGGAGGGAATTGGCGACGCCTCCAAGAAGATCTTCTCCTGAGCGAGACATTGCTTCGTCTCGCTCAGATTCAGGACAGATTGTAACGCGGCGTTCACCCAGCTGTTAGTCAAGTTATTTGAAAACTTGCAAAGGTTTTCTGAAACGTCCCTGTCCTCTTCGGTGTCTGGTGGAGCTTCTGTCATCTGCATGGTTTCCGCCCAAAACATTTGCTCCAAAGGTCAACGTCCCCCTCCGGGTCCATTGATCCTTGTATACTCATTCACTGTAATGTCTATGGGAAGTGAAAACTAAACACTCTATCTCCATGCAAGGAAGGCCACGGGAAAAACAGTGAGTTCCCAAATAACTGTCTGGGGAAGTTCAACAACCCTGGAAAACTTACTTCAGTAGACACATCATGTTTCATTAGTTTGTACACCGTTTTCAGCTGCACAGAAAAACACCTGGACTGTGAATCAAAAAATATTACATTTATATTATACATAAACGAACATCATTTAATATGAAAAAAACCTCTTCACCAGCCAGACTTGCATTGTCCCCAACGAGTTTGCTCTCTTCCTCAGAGAGAACTACCCCAGCCGGGGCAGAGCTCTCTGAGGGTGAGAGGGCTACCCCAGCCGGGGTAGCCTGGTCGTTGGGGACCCTCACAGACTCAGTGGGAGAAGAAACCTTCCCCGCCGGGTCGGTTTCTTCCATGTCCATGCCATCAAAATCTGAATCTGTGTCACTAAAGTATTCCAACATTTTCTCCATGCCTTTAGTGATCATGTATCCGAGTCCCCAGCCGAGCGGCAGGGCAAACGGCACGAGAGCGTGAGAAAAATTAATCATATCTACGAAACACTAATAATGAAGGCGATGTCTGGATCCTGAATGTTCAATGTCTTGAGATTCCAACGTTTAAAGGCTCAGAACACTTTGATCTATTGTGATGTATGTGATGTCATCGATGACCTCATCAATGAACTCACTGTAGTTCTGTGGCCCGGTCTTCCTTCTGATCGTTGCAATGGAAACGATCAGATCAGTTCTGCATGACTCAAATTATAGATGAAGTCGTGACTAAATATTGAACTAATTTTTAAAAAAATATTTAGTATAAAGAGATTAACAATAGATTTATATTTGACTGAACTGTTCCATTTATATTCATTTTTTATTTTAACAGTTTAAATGTCCATAATGTCTCTTCAACACTTTGCATTGACATGTTTATTTAGAGTTTGCTCTACAATGGTTCTATTTTTGACATCTAGACAAATTTATTTCCACCCACTAACTATCCACAGAAATGGTTCTTCAAACTATTTTTTTTCCACACTGAGAAATTAAGGAACTCAAAGTAAAATAGTGATTTCTGTACATTTTAAAAAGATTATCAGATCAATTGAGTGTTTTTATAAAATACAAAAAATTAATGATGGTCTAATTCACTGAAATTTCTGACTAGACCAAGGCGTCGTGGATTCAAAATAATTTCCTGAGCAACTTAAAAGCTCTAATTTTTAAGTAGCTCATCACATCAGTACTGAATGTCACAGAAAAGAACACAAAACTGAGGGTTCGTTTTTCTTCAAGCTGTGAAAAAAATTCCTCTTTTTATGCCTCTAAAGATTCATTAATAAATACAAAAATTACACAGAATTTTAACACAGACTTTCTTGGATATTTTCACTTGTAAGTATGCACATTTCTGTTATTTACACTACAACACATGCTCTTAAGTGAGATCCAATGACTTGAATCATCATCTTAGTTCAGAAGTAACTTACTTTATTGTTAATTTTTATGTTTTTTAACAAACCAGGCTAGCAGCCGTCGCGGTTTAACCGTTGATCTCTCCCACCTTTGCTGGTGCGAGCTGCGATCAGCCCGGGTGTTTCTCCCAGGTCGTTGTGGATCTCAACATCGGCGCCAAACACAATCAAACCTTTAATCAGCTCCATGTGGTCCATCTAGTGAGGACAGGCACAGAAAAAAAAGCATTATTGTTGTATATAGGAATAAACTACAGTCCAATGCAATAAATGACATCAAAACATCAAATAAGATTTTTTTAAATAATAAATTTCTCTGGAAATCATTTTGCAATTATAGATTCTTATTCACTTAAAAGTTTTATTTTTTATTTCAATACAATCTGTAAATGTCCATGAGATAGTGTTGCTTTAAACCCATAAAAAGACAAACGTCTGTTAAAACAGGGACCTTCATAGCGAGGTGCAGGGCCGTGTTTCCGTCCTGGCCCTTCAGGTTGGCGTTGGCCCCGTGGGTCAGCAGCACCATGGCGGCCTCAAAGCGGCCCTTCTTGGTCAGAATGTGGAGGGCGCTCTCGCCGGTCTTACTGAGGTAGTTTATCTCACAGCCGCGGTCCAGCAGCATGCGGCACATCTGTCAGAGAAGAAGCAAAACAATCTCCTTCCTTTTTCATATTAAGTTCAAAGTTTCATTTAACGTTTCATGGGGAAGTCGATTAATTTAAGCCTTTAAATGAATCAACAACGTAGCTTCCTGCCATCAACTCAAATCATCCAGCACATTTCGCTGGACAATAGATTGGCCCTGTAATTATTGCGATAAGCGATAATGTTGTTGTTTTGAGATCATTTCCAAGCAATGTTTTAGTAATGCCATGATGATGCACGTCCGTCCTCTCAAAGACTAATGAACAGAAATGCACCAAGCCAAAATTAATACCTGTAACGGTCCTGATATTGAAAAAGTTCTACATCAGATATTTGTGACAATGTGCCTGATTCTAACTGCACAATTGAGCAAATTAAAGTTGTGTTGTTTTTACATGTTTGAGCAAGATGCATGTGAAAACATGGTAAAAATATAGTTTATTTAGTTATTAAATAAATTTGTTTTCCTGTGCTTTTTAAAAAAGCAACATTTTAAGAGGATCCAGCTCTGTTCCTCTGTATCGGATCAGTACCGGTCGATACTAAATGGAATAAAGTGGCTCGGCGCGTCCTGACTCGTACACATTAATTTCATAAAGAATATTTAACATGGTATTTTAAATATCCAAAATAAAACACGACCAGCAAAACTAAAAAAAGGAAATGAACACACAACTGAACCAAACAGAGTCTCTGTAAACAAAGTATTACTCATCAGGATATAAATCATGGAGCTCAGTGTAATTAATTAATAATATGTAACATTAACAGTTAGAGTGCATGCAGAAGCCTGTACCTCAGCGGTTTTGGCCCAGTGCAGGGGCGTCCCTCCGTACATGGAGTCTTCGGCTTGCAGCTGGGACGGATCTGCTTTGAGAATCTCCTCCACGCAGCTGACAGACAAACACACCGTATAGACAACCTCACATTTCCCATATTTAATCATTTATCATTTCCGATGCTTATGGCATTTTCGCTGGCATTTAGCAGGTTTGTCAAAGTTTCACTTTAGCTAAAATGCTGTTTTAATTCTCGTGTAAGGCCGTTTCATAATGATGTTTTATACACAATTAGTACAAAGCACAAAACCAATCAGAAACATTGATTTACACTGATTCAATCAGTCTGCAGGGCAAAGGAACAACAAACAGAACCACTTCCTTCCTGGAGACAATTCTTGTAGCCCAAGGAGGGGAAAAAAAACGCAGCTCCAGCTTGTTGTTTTTGTTTGTCCGCTCACCCCTTCTCGCTGTATTTCATGGAGGTGTGGATGGGGTTTCCTGTGCTGCCCATGGTGTCGCACTTGGCCCCCCCCTCCAGTAGGGCTTTGACGGATTCCACCCGGCCCAGGCGACAGGCCACGTGGAGCGGCGTTTCTCCGTTGCTGTTGAGCTCATTCACCCCTGAGCACAGCCGTGAGCACAGAGCCTGGACAGGACGGCGTGGAAAGTTACGTTTAGAAAAAGGAAATATTGCTCGATTGTAGGCTGTGAAGTATTCTTCAATTATTATTTTTAGTGATGTCACAGCCACACCCAACTTGATTTCCAGTTTTTCTAAACCGATGACCTGCTGATACAGATTCAGGCTAATTCTGATTCCTTTCCAAGAGATAATTTATCAGAAGAAATAAATTAGCCGGACAAATTTCTTTAATTTTCTTAATTTTGCGTGATCGAGGATACTTAAAGCTGCAGTAATCTCATGTATGCGCCACTCAGACCCTCCCCCTTGATCTCTGCTATGCAGTGCTCAGGCTAATTGATGGCACATAAACAGTTTTCCTGGAACGATAGGTTGATTCTCCGCCATTAGTACACCGAGCCGCGTGTACACAAGCATGATCAACAGCGCAAAGACCCTCTTCCTGGCTCTGATTGGTTGTTTTTGACTGGGAGCTGTGCATTTCTTCAGACAGCAGTAGCAGCACCAGGAGGAGAAACTTGATTTTTTTTTTCTTTCCGCAGATTATTTTCCCGCTACAATACTGTCACAACATTTTGACAGTTTTAACAAATATTTAAAAAACATATTTTTGTAAAAGTTGCATACTGCAAAGAAATGCAACTTCTTCAGACCTCTGCAAAGGTCTGAAAAATCAGTCAGTGTTGCCTTTTGCTCTGCTGTGAGAGAAGACTGAGTGAAAGACCTGCCCACATGCAGGTAAGTTGCTAGCTGAAGTTGCTAACAACTTAGCAACTTTGTTACATTTAGCTTCTTTTAAGTCAAAATAAATTGGAATCAGTTTGTTAGGCTTATTTAAAAATAAATATCATAAAACTCCAATCTGTGTACCCCTCGTATCAACATTTAGTATAAAATGCAGCTTCTTTTTAAACAGGATTTCTGGGCTTCCACTGTCTTCGGTTTCAAACGCCTCGGTAATTATAGCTCAGGTTGAATGTTCTTCAAATCTGTCGGCTACTCTGAGCATTTCTCCTCCTTCTAGCTACAAATAACCCCCTCCCAGACTCACAACCTGTGTGCACTTGTCCACATACTTTGAAAAAATGTGCAATTATTAGAAACCCGTTTCAAAATATGTTTTTCAGTAAAACTAATGTGCCCCTTGAACTGCAGAACTCTTCCCACAACAAGTCAGGTGTGATGTTTGTGACAGACTGCTGCAGGCTTTAGCTTTGCATTTTCCCAAGCGTTCATACCCGTCACTGACAACTACGTATCCAGAGTGGGAAAGTAACACGATACTATGGTGTGAAGAAATTCAGTGCATCGGTTTGACCTTGAATATCCAAGATGTTTTTTTTTTATATTTGCTCCTTTAAAAACATATGAATAAGAAACTGGGCTGAAACATATTTAATAGCTGTGCAAAACCAAAATTCATCAATCATCAGTGCAGCTCCCTTCAGGCTGTAAATGCCCTTTGACCTGGGTATTCTTCAAGTCTCACCTGGATGATGACGGGGGAATCCTGCTTGGCGGCGTAGTGCATGGGGGTTTCTCCGTTCTGGTCTCTGATGTCGGTGCGGGCCTGGCTCTCGTCCAGCAGCTCCTTCACGCACGCCAAGTCGCCCCGTTCGCACGCCAGGTGCAGAGGCGTCTGGCCAGACGCGTCCCGCGCGTTGATCTGACTGAGAGCAGAAATTGTAGAAGGTTTGACCTTTCAAAGTGCAACACTGGAGAATGACTTACTAAACAGCTATGCTGGCTGTTAAGAAAAGGCTCCCAGGAGGTTCCAATTACATCCACAGAGAAACAACGGCCGGCTCGCTGAGCTTCCAGGTTTATGGCTGGCTTGTGTTTTAATGGCATGCTGCACAGACCGACGAGCAGAGCTTTGAACATGCTGAGAATCTTTCAGTCTACTAGTTTGAATTCTGGGGAACTCAACAGAAAGTTTCCAAAAGTACAAAGAGAAGATTTAGATTTTCTTTTTAGGATGCATAAAACAGGCACCTAGGAGTTAGTCGAAGAAAGTAGCAGTGTTGTGAATGCATTTGAGGCTAATGGCTTTACAAAAACTCTTAAATGATTTTGACAGTTCAAAGCCTTTTAAACCCTTAATGGCAGTTCAACGCCTGTTAGTTGGAGTGGCCCGTGCTGACCATTTATTATTTGTGTTACCTTTGGAAAGAAGGAGGCTTACAAATCTTTCTGTGTAAACTGAATTTGTTTGTTTTTGGAAGAGTAAATGTGTAAATTATGGTATCCCTCAAGGATCCATATTGGGAAAATGCTCCACGGCTAGTTAAAATCTACAGTTAAACGAAAGCAAAATGAAGATTTTCATCCGATTTGCCGAATGCGTCTTCAAACATTGTATTCCCATTTTTTTTTCCAACAATAACATTTAGTTACGTTGCCATTTTTGTTCAATTTGGTTCATATTTTTAATGTTCCTGATTCAATTCAATTGAGAAATACTTTTAATTATTCAAAAGGGAAATTAAATGTCGTTGTTACTCCTAACATCCAAGTATCCTCTGAGAGTCAAAGTACATGACAATGAGGGCAAGAAGAGTCTCCACTAGCAGACAGTCCTCCAACTAATCTGAAGAGGCCTCTGTCTGAAGACAGTTGCGGTTTCAAACCCATCATGACATCCTAGCAGCTCAGTTTGCAGTGTGATACATCCTGAATGACATCATGAGTTGTTAGGAACCACTGCTAATCCCAATGCTAACCCACTTAATTTGTTTTTCTTCATTAAACCTCTATTTGGCTGTATAAAAAAGTGAGACGATATTGATATCCAATGTTAATATTGCTGTTATGGATGATAACAAATAATATTATATGTGTTTCTCTACTGTTTCAACACCTTTGGAAAAAAAAAAGACTACCAAAAACAAATGGCAACCAGATGAAGACCAATACTGGTTGTTCGGTTTCATTTATCGGACCGATACCAACATGTAAAAAAAAATAAATAAAATGACAATGTATCGTATAGTTTTGATCTGTTTTGAGCGGGTTTAGAGCACAACACTTTGGTCACCTCTGTTCTTTTGTATGTGATTCATAAATCATGTTCATTTGCTCCCTCACTCTGAGTGAAAGGTAAATACCATGAACGAAGTATGGAGAAGCTTGGTTTGCTACCTCTGAACGTAGTTATGCTTGAGGCACTCTCTCATGCCCGTGTCCACAGCGATGTGAGCAGAGCTCCAGTCAGGATGGCTGCGAATGCAGTCCACGATGGTCTGCACCGTGTCCGCCTTCAGGGGCAGAATCTCGTAGAAAGGCCGCAGCTTGAGGGCGTACTGGGGGAACCAGTTCATGGCATCCTCCTCTGACCCCACCTGAAACAGCCTGCGGACGGCACAGTGGGAAACCAAACCATTTCCAAGAAGTGAAAGGAGAAACTGAAGTTTGCCCTGCAGAAATGTGGTAAACCTAACCAGTTTGATTTCTATGAATGAGAATGACACCCTTTCTTTTCTCTGTCAAGTGCAGCTTTTGAATATTTTCACATCTTATTCTTCATTTCACTGGGATTATATGCGACAGCCCAACATAACAGAAGGTTATGTTGGGCAATTACCCAACATAACCTTCTGTAAACAGGAAGAAAAATAATGCATGACTTAACATAATTAGCAAATAAAAATATGACTGTCTTATTTAGGGGTATTCGAGAAAAAGGGGCAGAAAACAGGCTTGTAATAGTGTTTGCGTGTGTTTGCTAGATGTTATTTGCTATCGTTTTGTTTCAGTTTAGTTTTGATTAGTAGTAGTAGTTTTAGTTCATTCTGAGGTGCAGAATTCAAAAAGGACAAAGTATTGTATTGTGATTATGTACACATCAATTGGGTAATAACATAAGAAAAATTTATTCAATTATGGGTTGAATTATGGATTCTTAACTGAATAATTGTTTGGAAACTTTTGCTGCCGCCATTTTGTGGTCCAGCTAAGTGCCACCAGAAGTACGGGGTGCTATAATTTGCCAACAAACTGCTTGTGTGACAGGAAAAAAACAAGCACAATGTTTGTAACATTGTGTTTGAAAATGTCTATGGCATGGGAATATTTTAGCAAAGCACTTTATGGATGTTTTGTATATATTGACGCATTCACAATAACTGGCGTTTTAAAACTCAGACAGTTCACGCTTTAGGAGTGGCTTTAGAAAATCCAGAAAAACACACAAAACATTCCACAAGTAATTCTAGAGAAAATACACAGAATATTCCTTGACTTGTTCTACAGGCTTTGAAGCAGCTGAGCCCATTTTACCTGTTTTTCAGGTTTCAATCTACATGAGAGAGAACTATAGACGTGCTTAACAATGGTAGTCAAAGGTAACGGGAAATAAATAAATAAGTTAAAAAAACAAGCAAACCTCCACTGTTGAGAAAAATGAGGACATTAACTTTCTACTGTGGTGATCTATACTGACCTTAGAGCCACAGTGGGCGTTTCAGGGGACAGGAGGACACAGTCCCATGATTGGTACTGTGTGTTTTTGTACAGGACCATGCGTCCTTCCTCCTTCAGCCGAACTTTGCCTCCTCCTCCATAATCAGACAGCTGGACGTCTCTGACCCGGTAAGGGTTCGTGAAGAGGGTCGACACGGAGGAGACGGTGTCCAGCAGCCGGCCCAGGAACTGCATCGCTACCTTAAAACAAGGACCACAATTAATCAGAGTAGATCTCAGATCCCTGATCTGCAATGTGTGTTAAACCAGCATCCCTCTGTTTACCAGAGCAGCTCTTGTCAGCATGAATGATTTATTCAGTCCCCTGGGGAGTGATGTCATAATTTAAGTGGAGCAACAAGTTTTGTTTTTTTTTCACCATGTTGCTATTTTTGCTGTTCAGTTACACCCTTTCTAAGAAAAGCAGTGCTCCACATGTCATGAACACAATTGATTTCCAATGTTGGTGGTTTGGTGGTTTGACCAGCAGGGCTGACTTCAGCTGGTAACAGCGCCATCTCTGTCTGTGACCTTCATTTTTCTATGAAGACTGAATACAAAAACAGCTGCTCATTGTCTGGATGCTGAACAAACAGCTCCACCAATGATGCTCATCTATTTTCCGAGTCCATTATCATACAAGGAGCGCATAGCAGCGCCACGCAATGCACAATCATGTATGGAAACCACACTTCTGTCCTCCATGTTTCTGGTTTAAAGTTCTTTAATGATGGTACAGCGGAAAGATGATTCGGGTATTTAGTCGCCAGTTGCTGCTAATCGCATTAAACCGGTTTAAAACCAGCGAGCTTACCTGCTAGCTGCTCTCAGCGCGACGGACAGCCTGACTTTTGACAGCTACATCAACAGCCGACGCCGCAACCAAACCTGCTCCGGTCACCTTGATCGACGCGAGCTCGTCCAATCAGAGCGCAGGGTTTAGACGCGCTGGATGAGGAGGGCGGGGCCTGACTGAAGGAGACGCTCCGGTTCGTTTTGCGTCACCACGGAGAATGTAAACCTACGGGACGCATCAGTGGATCATCAGGAAAGTAGGTCCAACTGCCCCGGTTTAGTCTTCAGATAAAAATCCTACCAGTCTGCGCAATTAACTTGTTTACAGTCACGTATAACTGTTAAATGTAAAATGATAAAGTCATATTTTGTTTTCTTTTTATTATTATTGTTTAACCTGTAAACATTATTATTATTATAGATCATTGTTATTCAGTTATATTCTATTAAAAATGTTTCCTACGACATCCTTTTTCCTAAGTCTAGAAATTAAAATATTTCCATTATATTTTTTATTAACTATTTTCAACGGTATAAGGTTCTAATAAAAATGTATATATTTTAGTGTATTTTAATCTAAATTCATTTATATTTAGTCATGTTATCTAAACATTCCAATGTTAAACCATTTAATTATATTTAAAATGGCCATAATTGCGACATTCCTAATAAATTATGTTTAGTTTTGCAAATCCTTGTCTGATTGCAATAAATATGTGGACAAAAAAAATCAATAAAATAAAACAGATATGCTAACCTTTGAAACACATCAGATAAAACAACAACAAAAACTTTCTACTTAAGATTTTAAGTGATATCTTTAACTAGAAACCTACAAATTAGAACAACTATAAATTAATTATAAATTTATGTGACAAATTTGACAGGATTTTCTTATGAAAACATATTCATTTTAGTAGTCAGAGCTAAATTGAGTCATACTGATCTGGTCACGTTGACTTGCGTTAATGCCAATGATATTGTTAAATTGTTACATTTATGAATGTTGCATTAATCATCTGCAACGCCCAAATGAGGAATAAAACAAAGAATTGTCGCTGGCCGCTTGCAGTTCCTATATCTTCCACCAGAGGGTAGAAGACGAGCACAGCATTGGTGATATTCTGAGTTTCAGAGTATTAGTATGACCTTTGTATGGTATTCAGATTTTAGACTGCATGATTAATATGATTAAGCCCTGGATTGGAAAGAAGCAAACGCCCTAAACAATCGCCACTCATTTCGGGCAAAACTTTATGAGCTCTAAATGCAACAATTGTGATGCAAAGTGCCATTGATGGAAGTTTAGACTTGCATAAAAGGAGGAATGTCATGTAATGTCAATGAAAACAGCAAAATGGCAGCTTTGGTTCCTTGTTACTCACGGATAGTCCCTTAAATAGTCTGAGCAGAAAAATGTAATAGATCAAATACCTTTCAAAATATTCACTAAATAGTGTTTGAGCTTTTACTGTTTGATTTAATGAAACATTTATTAGAAAAACAGTGTTGCACTCACCCATCTTACTGCATTTATATAGTATGTGTGTAGGTTTTATGGACAAACCGCCCAGTGGATCGAGCCATAAGACATTTTAGAAGTCAAAATGTCTTATTCTACTGCCAAATTATTACAACTTTTACTCAGTAGTTCTTCATCAATATTAAGGAATTATTGACTTCAAACAAGATCCCATCTTGCTGAAAAGTTACTTATCAGTCAGTTTTGTCTTTAAGTGCACAAAGACATTCTCTCTGGAAAGTAGACCGAATTTATTCGGTAAAACTTTCTGTTTGCAGGACACCTGGCATTAAAGAATGAAAATTCATAGTGTGACTTCATAGTGCCTTGAAGATGAAATACTCACACCTGTCGAACTATCAATGGCTTTTATTGTTGTTGTTTTTGAGTGATTTGTGATGAGGAAGAAATACAAACACAATGTTGGTGAGCGGTTTAAACACTGTTGAATCTCTTTTTACTGTAACTGCAAGTCTTTTGATTATCAGATTTCCTTTTTTTAAAAAAAATAAATTGTCATATATATATATATATATATATATATATGGCATAGTGATTGTGTAGTTCATGTTCTCCACCAGACTGCAGGGCAAGTTTTGCCACAAAGACAAAAGCACGCAGCGATGTGACGTCGCGTGTTGCTGAAACGTGGTGTGTGTTAATGTCAGAAATGTCTTTTAGTCTCACATGACAAACTCATATCTGCATCTGACGCCCAGCCGCGGCGTTTTAAGGTTTATTTGCCGGGTGGAAAGACTTTCACAACAATACGTCGTGAAGCCGCTCTGAATAGAGAAAGGATTGATCCCTAAACGCAAAGCGTGACGTCACGGCAGCGCGTTTCAGCGCTCCGAGCCGCTCGCGGCTCTTCGCATCTTCCTAAGTCCGCGCGGGTCAGTTGCCGTGGCGACCAAAGATGACCCCGGACATGTGACTTGGGTTTGCCGCGGCGCCGCTGCTGTTTCTAAACCACTCTCTCACACACACAAACACACACACACACACACACTGACAAAGCGCGTGCTGTCGCGCGCGCGTTTCTCTGTGTGTGTGTGTGTGCGCGTGTTCCCCTCGCAGTTGGTCTTATACTAACAGCAGACACGGCGGAGCTCACCGACTTTACAGAAACAGACCGACAACCAGGCAGCTGAGTTGGGCCGAGCAAGCATGGAGCTCTCTGCGGCGGGAGATCGCATTTTTGCGGCGGAAGCCATTCTGAAACGCCGCGTCCGTAAGGTGAGAGCGTGGCGTCGCTGCAGATGTTAGTGACGGCGCGCGGTCCCGTCTATAGGCTGCGACCGAGTCTGCCGCCTTATATGCGGCGCTGCGGAGGCCTTGTGTTTGACGGTTACTAACAGTTTGATAGCCGCGGCTAGCTCCGAGCTAGCGCCCGCCCCAGCCGCTGCTTTTATACGGACACAATGGGCAGAGCGGTAAAAGGAAAAGCGACACAAAGAAGCGGCTAGCAGCAAAAGAGCAACACATCACGGATGCGGGCTGTGCTCTGCAGAGAGGAGGGCACGGGGTTGTATTTTTTTAATGCCCGCTAATTGCGGCTAAAGCTATAGAGTCACATTGGGCAGTTTTAAGACATTTAACGCCTCGAGAGACGAGTTAAAGAACGTCTCAAACGGAACTCCGAGCTGCTCGCGCTGAAATGTTGATCTTTTGATCCCGAAACTTCATTAGAAGGGATTTTATGAGTCCTGGTTGGTGAAGGAAGGACTTCTAGAAGTTTTCCTGTGGGCTGTGTGTTCTGGAAGATGCTGTGTAGATCATGGTGGATCAGATTGGTGCAGTTGGGCTGAGGTTGTTAGTTTCAGAGCAGAAATTATTTTTACTTTGAAAACTTAAAAACAGACAAGAATTTAGAAACTCCAAAAAAACAACCAGGAGTTGGACTTTAATGCATAACTTTCTTCAAGAGCACATGTAGGTCTTCAGACCCTATCTGGGGTTAATATTAACTTTGGCTGAAGTTATGTGGGACTGAGCAGCATTTTTAAATATAAAGATGATAAAAAAAAAACAGAATAGACTTGTTTTAGCTGCATTTTGTTATGACAGTGCAACAAACAACACTGACTTTACAAAGAATCAGGGCTGCTTGCTCTTTTTCTCTAACTAGAGAGATTCCAGTTAATAAAAACGCAAAGATTCTCTAATAAAGAAGGATTAAAGTGCTTTGTTCTTTTTAAACTCACAATTCCAGGTAGTGGAACATTTGCAGTCAGTAACATATGTGGATACATATATTTTGGCAGAGGATTCCCAAGTCGAGTTTATAGTTTTTGAACATTTTGTCACCGTTTTCTTTCATTTTTGTAAATAGTCTGTGATTTTTCTCTTACAGGGAAGACTTGAATATCTGGTGAAATGGAAGGGATGGGCAATGAAGTGAGTGTTTTATTCCAAGTGCTTCAGAGCTGGCATCCTCTCACGTTCTGCCTTTGCTGCTGCTAATGAGCTAAATCCATTTCTGGTCGACTGCATGACCTCATGTGGGTTTTTTGGAGGGGGGGTTTTAATGGTTTTTTTGTTTCTGCTTAGGCACAGCACCTGGGAGCCAGAGGAGAATATCCTGGATGACAGGCTCATTCTGGGTTTTGAACAAAAGTTAGTAAATTCAGCTCCTTAATTTCTTCTTTTTTTTCTTCTATTTTTTAGTCTTTTCTCCTTTTTATATATAGCTTGTTCTGTTAATTTATTAAGATGAGATTTATAAAATTAGCTCCAAAATTAGGGGAAACAAAATTTGGGATTAAAGTGGAAGCTGGTGTCATTTCATGTAGAAGAGACGTAGATGTAATGAAAACTTATTAAAAAGTCAAACAAAGGGACGCTCTGCTCTTATTAGTGGATGATTATTTGCTGTAACATGAATGTGATTTAAAGCAGCTTATATAAAGTGCTTAAGACTTGTTTTGAGTGATGAACAAGTGAAATTCAACAAACAATAATGATCATACAAAAGCTATGATATTACATATTAATAAGGCTGTTGATTGCTTCTGTATATTGTCCAATCGTCTCGTTTATACGGAATAAAATAAAATCCATGCATTGCATAGACTTATGTGTTTTAAGTCTTGTATCCAGTGTCCATGTTCCTCATATTTGTTTTGCACAAAAGTTTCCCAAAGAGAAGCAAAGTGAAAGGAACAATAACAAAGTAACAGCACTTTTGTATTTCACAGAACAGCATGATTGAATTAGCATTATGGAGGGCGGGTCTGTGTAAAGGTCAATGAATGCATTAAAGCAAAAAAGATGAGTACATTTTGTGCTTTTCACAGAGCCTCTCTGTCAAAGGTCATAGCAGTGGGCAGAAACCACCTCTGTGCTGACCTCTGCCTCTGCAGGGCGGAGGTTGCCTCCAGCTCACTGAAGCCACTGCAGTTTGATCACAGAGTTAGCTGCGTTTATCAGAACATGCGGCGCTCTCCTGTTTATCGTGTTATTGTGACAACATTGTTGGAGCTGTGACGTTGCCGTGCCAACGGATGGATGCGGAGAAAATTGCACTCTTGTCATCTCAAGGACATGGAAGATGGATAAAGTTCCCCGCAAAACCAACCCTTTCCACGTTTTGCCCCGTTGTAACCACAAACATCATGTTTCAGTGGGATTTTAAGTTGCATACAAAGTAGTGTAATCAGTAACTTCTACACGCCACGATTTCGACCCATTTAGTTTTGCAGTCTGAGTGGTGGACATCCGCTTTGAGTTGTGTGACGGCAGTAGCTCCATCGTAACCCTACCTTTGCTACTGACTTACAAATGGGTGTCGTGTGGGTCGGTCGTTAGAGCCGCTTATGCAATGGAGAGACAAAGCGGCGTGCCCAAACACATGACATCAAGCAGTCTGTTGTAGCTCTGGTTCTATGTTTAGGGTCATCTTCCTGTCGAAAGAGGTGTTTAACCTCCTCATTCTGAACTGTTTTGAAGCTGCTAAGTGGTTATTAATCCCAGGATTGCCATATTTCTAGCTCCTTCCATCATACCATCAACACCGACCAGCTTTCCTGTCGAAGAAAGAGTCACCTGCTTCTCTGACTAATGATCTCAATGTAGCTGGACATGGGGGGAAAAAACAGGGTTTAATTCTCTTGTTTCCAAAGATGAAAGGGGCTTTTTGGGATATTCCCAGTCCTTGATCATCAGAAGGTGTTCAGAAGACCCGTCTTTGCCTTCTCGCTTGAACACTTGGTGAAGCAGAGCACGGTGATGCACCCCCAGACTGTCCTTGTAGACATCATGTGGGCGTAGTGAGAAACATGCCAGATAATCCGTTACCGTTACTTAGTGACTCACGAAACCGCTGTGTCTTCCAGTGAAGTCGTTAAAGCAGATTTTCATTTTCATTCATGTACTCCAAACTGGTGTTTGCCTTTTTCTGTTTCGCCTCGTCTGCTCTTCATCACTGCTTCTGAAAAGTTTATCTGAGGAAACTTTCTATTTGTGTGTCCTTCCAAGCCACTTGAAAGACTCACGCTGCTCTCAGAGATGTTTACAGGAAACCCAAGCAGTCAGAGCCAAAACTGACACATCAAATGGAAACAAAAATGGACACGAGAGCAGAGAGGGATGATGAGAACAAGGCCCAATTAACATGCTTTATCTGCCTGTTCTCCATTCAGTTCTAATTCATTTTTCTCTTCTTTTTTCGTTTTGTAGGGAACGGGAGAGGGAAATCCACGGGCCCAAAAAACGTGGGCCAAAACCCAAAAACTTTGTGCCAAAGGTATGACTTCTACTTTTGTTTTGTTTTTTCACAGCTCCTGTTTATGAATAGAAATGTCCATTATGTAGGTTTAGGTGATTAGAAAACGCCCTTTCAACTGTAAAATACTATAAAATATCCAAGTTTTGCCTTTTTTTTCCAGCCCTTTGCAGGAAACTGGAGCTTGGCTTCTACAAACAGGCCATCGAGATCTTTTGAAGTCTATTTTCGATTCTCGCATCAGCGCGTGTTCTGTTGTTACTAAATGAGATGAAAACAAGGTGGAGCTGGCAGAAAAACATTTGAGCTGACCTATTTTCTTTTTCACTCAGCCATTTTTTTTTTATTTCACAGCCTGTGGATTCTCAAGCTGAGAATTCACAGTGCTGTCAGAAAGGTGCAAAAGCCAGATATTACACACAATTCTTCACATGTTCAGATGTTTATTTTTATGCTTTTATTTTGAGTTGGATGAGAATTGTTTACGCAGCAGTTCTGTGTCCTCACATTCATAACCACAAATAAAATGCAGCTGAGAAAATTGAAATATTTAGATGCAATGCTGCTTGTCACTCTATTGGCTGGTGTTTGCAAAGCAGCCAATCCGAGAGCTCTTTTCATTTTCCTTGCCATTGATTGGCTGTAGGTCCAGGAACGGGAAACCAAACTAAAACAGCTTCCACTGTGCTTAATACATATATTTGGTGTTTGAACTATTAAAATATGTAGTTATACACATTTTCACTGGTCAGCCATCGTTTACTGAAATCCTTTGACTCTTAATGAATTTCCTACTTAATATTTATTAATACATACATAGCTACACGTGCTAACTAAAAAACGGCAGCCCATCTTAAATAGCTAAATAGCTCTTGTTCTTTTAATTTGATAAGATTCCTAACTTCATCATCTTCCACAGGGTCGCAGTCAGAAAGCAGAGCCCACCAGTCGCACCTCCAGCAGGCGGCAGAACACGCCTCGGTCCACCTCAACCACTTCCAGTCGAGCATCTTCCTCCTCCTCCTCTTCCTCTGCTGCTGCTAATGCTTTGCCATTCTCCTCCTCGTCCTCGTCGTCAGCGCCGGCGCCTTCTCCCAAACTCAACTCTCTCGCGGCCACCCACAAGTTGAAGAAAGACATTCACCGTTGCCACCGGATGTCCAGGCGGCCCCTGCCTCGCACAGACCCCACGGGGCCCGCCTTTTCCAGTTCGAGTGGCATCCAGTCCCGCATGCACGTCTCCCCTTTCTCCGAGACCGTCCGCATCCTGAACCGCCGGGTCAAACCCCGAGAAGTCAAGAGAGGGCGGATAATCCTCAACCTGAAGGTGATCGACAAGCCGGGCAGGGGCGGCGCAGCGGGATCCAGGAACGTTCAGACGGGTCGCCAAAACATCCCGTCTCGTAATCGCATCATCGGCAGGAAGGGGGAGGCCCCCTACAGACCTTTCCAGCCTCCTTTAAAGATGCTGGGCTTCCCCATGTACGGGAAGCCTTTCGGGCTGCAGTGTGGTGGGCCCATGTCCTTTCACTCCCAAACGGGGTCCAGCTCGACTACAGGAGCCAGGGACGGCAACAGCAGGATTTCACAGCACCAGGCACCGCTTCCATCCTCTTCTTCTTCCTCCACCTCCACCACCGTCACAGCTAAACACCCTCAGCCTGCTGCAGAAGCCTCCAAGGAGTCAAAATCCAGTAAATCTCCAGAAACCCCAAATGCCTCATGTTCAGAAGCAAACAAAACCCCAGTCCGCCCCTCTCCTTCTCCATCTTTGGAAGATCAAGACGAAGATGCCGTGGACTGCTCCGAAGCCTCTGAGGGAGCCAGAAGTCCTTGCCAGCACAAAGCTTCCTCCACGGTTTCCTCCTTGGCTCCAGAACAATCCTCGCCCCTCCTTGAACCCAAAAGGGTCCCCGCCGAGGGAGACCCCGACTGGCACCCGGAAATGGCACCAAGCTGCAAGGACGTGGTGGTCACTGATGTAACCACCAACCTCGTGACCGTCACCATAAAAGAGTTTCCCTCTCCGGCGTCAGGGCCCGCCTCGCCTTCCACTAGCGTCGAAAACGGCTCCACGCCTCCTCCCGCCGCAACGTCCGAGGACTCTTCCGTCCCGAAGCCATAAGAGATCCAATAATACAAACTGTAATGCCATTTGGGATAGAAAACTATATATATAAAGTATATCATGCCAGTGTTGCCACTTCAGCCCTGTCCTACCCGCTCTGCAGAGGGTTTGCCATTATTTGTTAGATACTCAATGAAATACAGGGTTTCCCCCAGAGAACTTGCTGAACCCGGTGGTCAGTGCTCAACGCAGTCCACCAGCGGACCACCATGTTTTTTTGTTAAATAATGCTAAAAGTTGACTGGAAACAAATATGCTCTCTCATCAGTCTCTCTGCTCATTCAGGGCAGACCTCTTAAAGCAAGACTAAGCCTTTATCGTTACGCTTTTAGAGAGTTGCGTGCCGAGCAAGCGGTGAGTCTTTTGCACTCGACGTATTCTTTGGTGCGGTACTCACTGAAAAGACCGCCTTCACAGAGGGATCGTATACAAGCGAAGCTGCTCTGCGCGAAAACCTTCCGAACAGGCAATTTTGAGGGCAAAATTAGCGGACTATAAAAATACAGAGGTGCACAAGCAGAGTGTTGATTGGGCCGCCATCTCGGCCTTGCACTCAGTTCAATGCTTTAAAGGGGCAGTTTTATGTAAAATCTACTTTTTTGGGCTTCACATTATGTTATAATGTTCTCTCATCAAAAACATACCTGGATGTTGCCTTGATTCTTTTATGCATGTATGAGAAATCCTTTAATCAACCATTCAGCTGTGCAAAAGGGCTGGGTGAACCCAGCACCGCCTTCGAGACGCAACTCCTTTGAGCTGCAGTCTCCGAGCTTCTGCCTCTCTCACTCAGCTGCTTCATTTATTTTAACAAGTAGTTAACATAGTTACTTAATTCTGCTATAATACGGCACTGTGCGCCTGGAAACGCATAATACTGTCCCTTTAACGATAAACCCATCTTTGCTATCAATGTTATTGATCTGCTAATAAAAAAGACGTTTTTAAAAAAAAAAAGAAAAAACAAGGAGCGCTTACTGGTTGGTGGTGGGGGGCAAGAAAAGCCTGGTGGCCCGCCAGGCTTATGATACTCCGGGGGAAACCCTCAAATATTATGTAACTAAATAACACCCAGCCATAAAATAGTACAAGAAAACATATTTTTTCAACAAAAAAAAAAAGAAAAGAAAAAGAGGCAGCTTGTATGCCTTCTTGCCATTTAGATTGCCATATTATATCCAACTGGCGCCACACACATGCCAGAAAACGATTTGTTTTCTTTCACTTGATACACACATGCTGGGTTTCTGTTTGTCGCAAATGCCAGTTGTCCTAACAGCGCGTCCCTCACCCATCTGCTGTGCGGGCTCTCATCAAGCACACTTGCTGGAAGTGAAAGGACTTTGCCCATCACCAACATGGACTCTCCGTTCCCATGTTGGTCGCCATCGGCAACACGAGGGGACGTCTGGTCGAGCTTTTGACCCCGCCGGACGCGATCGGACTGGGGTTCCGATGTTTTAACGGAGAGATGTGGTTTTTTTGCACTTAGACTCTGAAGACTGCGTCAGCACAGCGAGGTGAATGCGATGCACTTGACCCGTTCAGTGAAGTCGATCTGCTTCTCGAGGCCTTTTTATTTCCCCCTCTCTTCAGTCTTACACACACGCGTACAAACGCAGAGTAGGAACGTATTTAAATGCAAAAGTTAACTTTTGAATTCGCTAAAATTCGTACTTCTTGCTTCAGTTTCTCCCACGCCTTCACAGCTCCCTTCTTCAGCTGCTTCATTCGCTCTCAGCCTCTCAACCCATGAAGGTCTTGAAGGTCCAGAAGCGACCAGCTAAACGAACCAACCACTGTATCTGATTCTGTGACTTTTATGAGCCCATGTTTCACATCTGTGCAACATTAGAGGCGGCTGTTTGGTTTTTCCACATTTTCTCCCTTTTAGACCACAAACTTGAGATGTTTGGAATACACTAAAAACAAAGTATGGCTTCAATGTGATGTGGGGGGTAAAAGAAGCAGGGTTTAGTATTCACCCTCTGCTGAGTCAGCATCTACTTCTGTCAAGCTCAGCCAGATCCTGCAAATTGTCTTTTAGGTTTTGTCTTGGATTTTCTGCTAGGTGCCGTTTAAACTTGTGCATTTTCATTCACCCATCCAGTTGTAGTTTTGGCTGAACATTTGGGCTTGTCCTCATTTTCTAGCCTGCAGCTCGTTTTCTTTCAGAACCGTCCTGTATTTGGCTTTATCCGTCTTCCCCACGCTTCATGACAGCAGCTGCGTTTTCATTACAAATAATACATACATATGATCATAATGAATAAATAAGACATCATACATAATTTCACTGAACTGATCCAGAATGGCACAGCATTCTGGGTGATGTAGGCAGAGCAAAGACTTAAGCTGCTCAACATTTCACAGTCAGCTTAGTCATTTTGGTGGCATCAACTAACCCACTCACTCTTTGGTTTCCTACCAACAACCTTTTGACTAACTTTTCTCTGAGGATGGATCGATAATGAAAATTTGAGCCGATATCGACGTCCAATATTAGCATTGCTGTTATGGCCGATAATATATAATGGAAAAACTTACATGACGAAGCTCCTGTCTCTTAAGAAACAAGAGGAAATAATTAAAGGTTGTTAATATTGGCACGATACCAACATAATGAAAAAGGATCAATATTGGCCGATACCGATGCTCTCGCTGATATATCATCCATCTCTATAATTATCGGCCATCAATAATTGTCTGAATGAAGGAGAAAGTGTAGCCAGATATTTAACTTTAAATATTTATTTAGCTCACGAAGCGGAAAGCGTCAAAACATTCATTTCACTCAAACTCTTTCATTTGACTTGTTTGTGTTGCCACTTCTGTCCCAAATGATCCAAAATATGTTTTTATTTTGACGGAACAGTTTTCCGCCCTCATGATTCAAAATATTTCTCGATCTCTTCTTCTCGTCCTTTAAAGCAAAGGAACCTCTGACGGTGATCGAATTTTTGGGCTCTCGGATTCTTCTTCTCTGGTGTTTCCTGCTCTTCCCAGGCCTTCCCAGTCCTCCACTCGGTTCTGCGTTTTCTACCTTTTTTCCGCATGCGTTGCCTTACAGCTGTGCTCCCGCTCTTCTTGCTTGGCTCTTTGGACAGCTGTTAGATAGTCGCGACTTCAGCTTGGTGACTGTAAGGATCTCATTACTGTAAGAAGTTCACACTGTTTCTGATTATTTTTTGTTTTGTTTTTTTTGAAGGCACAGACGTAGAGGACGTATCTGTATGTTTGTTTTGTACCAGGTGGCTCTTGTCGTCAATGCTACGTCAACACACCGCTGTTGGACTTATTCCGTTATACGAGAAGAAATAAGTTAACTACCTTAACCACGAATGAAGACGTCTGTCTCCTTTAATCTTTTATTTAACTCCAAACGTGCTGTGAACTAATAAAAACAAAACAGCTTTTCTCTCCGCATGGAGAGATGATTTCCAAAATATCTCTCATGTTCTGTATCTTTCTTCTCTTTTTCGGTGGTGGTGACACTAGCGGTTGGTAGATGTTTAAGATATTAGTCTTGAAAGCGTTGCTTTTCTTCTCATACGGGGTAGCACAACTCAACTTAGTGGCCTGTTATGTAACCAAATAGGGCTCTATATTCTCCTTAATTTTTTGGTTTGTTTTTTTCGCCCTTTCAAATTTTTTTGTACATTCATGTTGTAATTTCCAAATGCTGGATCAGCATGTAAAGGACAAACTGAAGGATCCTCGTTTTAATGTATGAATCGAAAATACTCAATTACGGATTGTTGTTTTTTAAGCTTGTTTTTTTTTTCATATTTGTACTGTATTTTAATACGTGTCTGAAATATGCATAATTATTTTAATGTAAGGCTGTTTGAATGAGCCATTGTTAACGATTGTTTTTTTTTTTCATGTATTGAGACTGCAGGCTGTTTTTGTGGTTTTATGACGATTTTGAAATGAGTACATTGCACCGATGGTGACGAGAAGGAGGCGGAGGGCGATGGTGACATGAGAAAATGTTTGTGAAGCATGTTTTTGCAACCTCTTGCTGTACAGATAATGTATTCGGTGAAACTGTTACGTGTTGTTTTTGTGTTTCTTGTAAAAAGCCTTTGATTAAAAGCGCTCTAAAAATGCTTCCAGGGTTTCTTTAGGAGTGGCGTCATTGTTTTTCCACCAGTTGCCAGCTCAGCTGGCTAATGGAGATGTAGCCGCAATGAAGAATTTATTCATAAACTCACAACTTTGTTATTAATGTGGCAGTACCAGCTAACCTTATTAGCGGTTTTCTTTTATTTTTTTTTTTCTTGTCTTTTTTGGCGGTATTATGTGTTTGCAGCCACATAATTGTCTTTTTACAGAGCTAGGTCCACCCAGGCGTTTTGCACAGCTGAATCATTGCCATGGGAGATTACATTTCTCAAACAAAGCCTAAAATAATCACAGCAACACTCCAGGTATGTTTTTTTTTCTTCTATAAATTCTTATAATTTTGGGTTGCATTTTATGTCTAGCTTCCTGAAGTGATACTTTGTTGTTTTTGGTAAAACTAGCTGTAACTGATTATTTTGTTTATTGATTTATTCTGCCTGTTCTTTGTAAAAAGGGAACAACCTTGGTCAGATTTAGAGCTTATGTTACATCAATCTCAGTTGGTTATGGGTCTGGACTTTAACTAGGCCATTGGAGCACAAAAAGAAGCTATAATTTGAACTATTTCACTGCAGCTCAGACTGTATACGTGATGGAAAACCGGGTAAAATAAGTACTCAGCATTTCAGTATTTTTCACCATAAATATGTTTTTGTAATATCGCTATTGACAAGAAGTTCAAAAACTGTTGGTGACAACTCAAGAATTGCACACATAAATCAATGCAAATTAGAGCGCAAATGAAGAGATGGGTAAAAAAAAAAATTAGAATAATAATACTACACGTATAATAAGTATTGAACACACAATAATTTGTTGAACACTCTTTCTTGTTTATCACCATTTTAAGATGTGTCCTGTATGGAGAAACTGGTCAGATGTGTTGTTCCAGCTATTGAGACATAACTTTATTTTAAGAGGAGTTTGTTTTGATGTCATCATATGTGTGGATTACTTGGCTTGTCACCAACATCTGGTTACATTTAATGTATACAAAAATAATAATAATAATAGAAAAACATGCCTGTTTGTATTATAGAATGGTTATTTTATTCATAGATTATTAAAGTTCAATACCCAAATCCTCCACAGGGTGTCGCTGTTAAACTGTTTTTAGGGTTTCAGGATTATATGTGTGTTTTCAGGAGGACTGAGACTTGGAGGGACTTTAAGGGCATGCTGGGTTTTCATCTCTGTGTTTTGATGCTGCGATGAAGAGTTCAAACAACTCCTGCCACCGTCTCTCCACTGTGCTGCTAGAGAGACGGAGTTGAAACATGCTGTGTGTCATCTTTAGCTGTTTTTCATTTGGATTTTTATGTCGGTGTTCAGTCACTGACTGAACACTGATTCAACACATGTAATTTGGCTCCGTTTACAACAAGGCCGTGTAGGCAGCCTGTTGATTAGTTTGAACACTGCTGCCACCTAGTGGCCGGAGGCTTGTTTTATCAAGCATGAATAAAGACAATTATAAAGTCCTCCTGACATTTTGCAACGCCCCCCTGGGGATGTGCGCCCCACTATTTGAGAAGTACTGGTCTAAAGCTTACAGTAACTCGTAGTCCTTCTTCATGTTGCAAAAATACTTACAGGAGGATAAAAAATGGTTAAAAAAGAAAACTGCTTGAGTTTGTGAAATTGGCATTATTATTTCCATATTCTTTTTTTCCCACCCAAAACAAAATTGTGTGTTTGTGACCCAGTTTTGCATTAATTACATATTAGGCTTGTGTCACATCTGTGAATGCACAGACACGTGACTTGGCACGGATGTCGGCTTATGAAATGGCATGTGTGCACGCGGGCTTAAGGATGGGCTCAACTGTAAGTGAGCTAAACAGGAATACAGATTATTTTGAGTTTTTGTCCTTGGTGCCTTTCAAAAGATTTTTGTGACGGTGACCCTCAAGGCCGGCCCAAAGAAAAGCTGCTTAGACATCGTTGCATGTTTCCCCTCAACTTTAATGCCGGATCTGTGCAGAATGGCGTCGGGTAATAAAGAATGAATAGAGGGTTCAAAAACTGACATATTTATATTTCTCTAAAATATGTCCACTGAACATATGAGTGGGCATTTAGGTATGTACAACTGTCAACAAATCTGTGAATCGTTGAGGGTTGACTGTTTTTCGGTTTCTTGGCATGAAAAACATTCTGTCTATTGTCAGAAGCGACTGCAGGATACGGGACACTTTATGCGGTTTGATGAACTGGAAGGTCCACTTTTGAATAAAAGCAAAGCCTGATGTTCAACAGGTTTATTGTGATTCATTCAGACTTTAATGAGTTGAACACGTCTTTTCTATCTTTTTTTTTAATATTCCGGAGTGACACTTTGGACACCTCGGTAGTCCCATACAGTGAACGACATGTCAGTGTTGATGCGGTGAGTGGTGGGCTTCACACTATTCACACTATGTTAAAAAAAAAAAAGGGTTTTTTTCCAAAACAACCTACCTCGACAGAGACACACGCGGCGAGGCGCGCGCGCGCGTCCTCTCTCTCACGCTCGCGCGCCCACGGATCCATCGCGGCCTTTCTTGTTCGCTTCGCGCAGCTGCTGGAGGGAGGCTCAGCTCAACCTCTCCTCTCACCAGTCACGCTCCTCCTCCGGCAGCCGTCCTCATGGCAACGCACGCGCGGAGGAGAGCGCAGCTTAGCAACGCAGAGACGGAGAGCATCCATCCCCGCAGGTCGAGACGCCGCGGTGCCATCAGTATCGCACTCAGAGGGAGGAACGACGGACAGGACGCGGCGGCGCTTCTGGAATCAGCTCAAGTCGACGTAAGCGTCATGTTTTCTCCTGATAAAAAAAAGAATAATAATAATAATAATAACATCTCTTGTTTTCGTGAGCACTTATTGGGCTTGTCGTGATCGCAAGGCTCGCGTCCTCCTGCCCGTTGCGGCGCGGAGTGATGCTGCATGTTTGTGAAGGCGATTGATCCGCTCTGTTTTCCCTCGGCTTTCGCAGGCGCGATGAAGTTCGTGTTGGTGCTGGTGGGAGCGGGCTCTCTCGCCTTCCTCGGCGCGGTCATCTGCATCATCGCCAGCGTTTATCCCCGGAAAAGCGGCGCGACCGCCGGCGACAACGGCACCATGACCTCGGAGGCGCTGATCCAGCCCCTGGAGTCCGGGTCGGTGGCTCACGCCGGGCCGCTGGGAGCTCTGCACGGCCCCGGGTCTTACGAAGTGGACAACGGGCTGGGCGGCATCGACCTGGAGGTCCCCACGCTGAACGAGCTGAATCTGGGGAAGGAGACGGCGGGCGGGTCGGCGAAGCACAGCTTCAGTCGGCTGATTTGTACCCCTCTACCTGTTGGGGAGTGTAAGACCAAAGACCTGAGGCAGAAACGCGAGCAGCAGCAGCAGCAGCCGCAGCAGGCGGACGAGCCTCCGTACAGGAACGGCGGAGACGAAGACCTCCGGACGACAGCGGAGAACCTCCGGCAGATGGTCCTGCAGCAGAACGACCAAATCCTCATGGACCAGCGGACCATCCGAGAGCTGACGGGCAAGCTGAGTGAGTGTGAGAGTGGCCTGGAGGACGAGCGGACCACGCCGGCGCGGAGCGTCGGGGTGTGGAACGGGAACCGCCGCGTGATGGCCGGGGACGACGTGAGCTCCACCTCGGCGGCGCAGCTGCAGACGGCCCGGGCGGTGGAGGAGCTGGCCAGGGCCATCATGGACCTGAAGGACCGGATCGAAAAACTAGAGGTGTGTGTGTGGACGTGACGATGACAAAAATCCGTTTGTATAAAGTTCCCTAAACGTGCTTGTCGCACGGCTGAAAGGAGATCGAGCAGAAAGATGGGGGACAGTAATGACCCCGCAGTGAACCCCTGAAACCAAGTCGTGACGTCATTTTAGGTCCTCATTTTATTACTTTGACTGAATCATCATGATTCAGTCAAAGTATCATCATAAAGGATATAAATCAACGTTTATGAGGAATTTTATGAAGAGGACTGACTCATTGAAGCTCTTTTATTTAGAACCGTCCATTTTTGTAAAAGTGTGGCAGAGATTAGACTGAACAAAACTCGTGTTGAATCAACATTTGAATTTTAGTTTTACATCTCTGCAGGCTGTTTGCTGAGAATGAAACGTGTTTGATGTGCGTTACTAGTCACTTTTGGTCCTGGAGCTTCAATTACATTTCATTGTAACTTTGCCGACCCCCCAAACTGCTTTAATAAATGTTCCTGTTCATGGCCCCCAATAATGAGATGGGATTTACGACCCTGGTTCTGTTTCTAATCCTCATTTTTAATATTTATAGCAAATTTTAAAGTCGGTTCATTATCCAAAAACAGTTTGATGTCTGTGCTCTGCGTGGAGTCAAGCGCCCCCTGCTGGCCTGGAGGTCCAAAGTAGCATCCTGGTTTGCTTATGCATTGGGCAGCTGCTGGAAAATGAGGCTCATATATTTTGAGCGAGAGAAATCACTGAATCATCTCACAGAAATGTGAGACGGGCCGCCTGTCCGTCTTTATTCCTCCCCCTCCGCTCTACAAACCGACTCGTCTTGAGACAAATGCCCATCATGCTTTGCTCCCGCTCCCACGGACTCAGGGGAAATCTTTCCACGTAAGCCGGAACCTTGCATGCATCCCAGCGCGCCCCGCCCCCCATTATGTCGGCTGCCTGCTCAGCATCCAACCCTCGGACGCTGTCGTAAATAAAACATGAAGCTGGCCGGACGGGAAAAAGGCTGCTGGAGGTTTAGAGACCGAAGGCATATGTGTGTGTGTGTGTGTGTCTGTGTGTGTGTGTGTGTGTGTTCTGAGATTGAGACACAAAAGATGTATGTTTATCCACACACACGCATGGTTTTGTTTTTCTACCTTGACATTGACGTCCGTTTATTTCTGAAGCCTGACCCTCACGCTGAACCCAAAATAAACTCACATCAAAACTTAGCTGCCCACATCACGCGACCCAGAAACTGCAGCTCTTCTTATCGCGTCGGACCTCATCAATCCATGCAACGTTGAAAAAGGAGAAAGGCCCTTGCAAGGTGAAGAAAGTCTCAAGCACACACAGCGGCCCTGCCGCACCGCTGCCAGCCCTCGGTGATTGCAGTCCCAAGCTTGTCTCCATCAGTGTGAATTTATATCCTTGATGTGGAGACACACCGCCTCAGCAACTCTCTTGATATTACACACCGCCCTCGCAAACGTCTCATCCGCTCCTGCGGATTTGCCTCTGTTTACGGCAGCCTCGCAGACACGTTATTTATTATTTTCTCCAGCTTATGCTCTGCATCTTATTAACGGCTTGAGTGATCATCAGTACGGCAGCAGCTTATTTTAAAACACTTGCATTGCATTGCAAAAAAAAAAAAAAAAAGCAGCTTTAGGAAGTGTTTTGTAGACAACCACTGACAAATAAAATTGAGCTATAATGTTGTTATGTGTAAGATTTAATCTTAAGAAGGGCTTGACACAATGAGGTTTAATCCAAATCTGTTATTATAAGGTCATGGATCAAACCAAACAACTGGCTTGATGGAAATGAAATCCTATAACGTCAAATGAAGAGCATAACGGCATTGTAGCATGTGGCATTGTTGATGAAGGCAAAGAAAGAACAGAATCTTCTTAAAGAGACAGAGGCCCAATTTCAAAGTCAAATTCCGTTTTCATGTTTGATACATGTGTATAAATATCATATCTATAACAACTGAAGGCAACATAGTTATTTGAGCAAATAATGCCTTTAAAGGTTGTTCAAATCGAACATCCGGGGATCAGATGAAATGTTTTAAATAAGAGCAAAGATGCTGAAGGGTTTCCATACGTTGAGCCGCTCAGTTAAGATGAAAGTTTGTATCAGTTTGTTTGTAAGGTTTGCAATTTTCACATCATCTGTTGTCCAGGTTTGTCATGTCATCCACGCACATGGAGCTAAATTGGGGCCGTGACGTTTGTTCAAAAGAAAAACATTGTGAACCTAAAAAAAAAGAACTTAAACATGTTTGAAATTGAAAAGAAGATTTGAAACTGAAAAAAATATAATAAATTCAAAGTTACTTTTAATATTCAGGTTTTTTTCAGCTTCCAGTTTTTGTTTTTGTTTCAGTTTCAATTTTTTTTTTCTCTTTTGAACAAACTTTATGGTCCCAATTGAGTGCCATAGATTCTTGTAAGTTTTCAGTTTGGCATAAAGATCATGGAGCTGAAACAGCTGCTAGAAGCCTTGTCTTTGTTTCTGCATGATATATGCCTTTTAGTACCACTGTTCTTCTTCGCTAGCGTCTGTTCGTGTCTGACCTTTTGCTTCTCCGCACTGCCAAAGATTAACATCTGTCCCCTCCGCTGTACAGGCGGAGATCGGCCCCGGAGCCCTCAACCTCACAGACTCATCGGTCGCTGGTGGCATCGGCGGCGGCAACGCCCAGACCGGGGACACCGGCAGGACTCCGTCTTCGGCGGCCGGCGGCTCTCCGTCCCCTGCGGCGGGGGGTACGCCGGGAAGCCGTCGTCCTGCTTCCCCGCACCCCCACGGCTCCAGGCCGACCTCCTCCAAAGGCTCCGCCGGCCGGGGAAAGGGCGTCTGGAGGGTGGAGGACCTCGAAGGGGAACTGGAGAGGAAGATAAAACTGCTGAAGAAGGAGCGCCAGGGCATGAGGAAGGAGACGCAAGATCAGCACGAGAAGATCGACAAGGGCATCGACTCCGTCAACCACCGCATCATGGAGCTGGAGCACAGTGAGTGTCTGTGGGAGTAATCCGATACCCAGGAGGAAGCGGACAACCGCACCGGCGCGCGCGCTGACATGAAAAGCGCCGAGAGCGGCGCCCGAAATGAAAGTTTAACGAGCGCCGCGGGTGAACTGGGTCATCACAGCAGCGGAAAAAACACCGCGTGGATGAAAATAAGACGGCTAATGAGGGCTGAGGGTTGGGAAATGTCAAGCAGGGACAGGGGGCGCGCAAATAATACAGCTATAAATAGAGTCCATTAAGTTTGAATTTAATTTGGTCGTTTAAGCCTCTGTGTCGTCAAGTCTCAAGGCAGAAAACCACTGGAAAACTGAAAACCATCAATACGTACATTTCAAATAAAAATCTGGGCATTCGAAGACAGGAAGCTTCAAGAACACTGACCAGGCACAATGACCGTGGGTCCTCATTTATCCTGTACCTCGTCAAAACCTCAATTTCCCAAGCGCAATGCTATTTTATCCCAAAAACCACAGACTTCTTCGAAATTTCACCTGGCCTGTCAAACGGGAGGGGGACGTTTTTTGTGAATGGGTCAGATTCTTCCCGGAGTTTCAACCGTCCCCCAGATCCAAGACCCGATTCACTGAAACGTGGGTCCTCAATAATACTTCTGCCACTGCTCTTGTCAACCATTTCACTTCTCTCCAAAACATATGACTAAGTGAATGTCTCCCCTGCATATGGTCACAAATTTAGAGGCCAGAAACAGGCGAGCAACAATCCAGCTTTGCAGTCAGACGCTTTGAAAACAAACCGCCGGCAGAAAAATGTTCCGCCTTCCCTTTTTCGGTGAGCCCACACCGAAAAACTCCAGGGCCCCACGTGAAGGGGGTCACTCTTTCTTTACAAAGAAAGAATGTAAAGAAATAATGACCCAAGGAATGGAAGAAGGAACGCATTTAAAGCAATGGAGCGTGGAGTAAAGCCTGGAAATACATTTTTTCCCCCCATTCTCTCATTTTCATTTTCCACGTTGATCCAGTCCTATAAAAATGCCAAAATGAAACGTTCTAAGACTGAATAAGAAGAGAAAAATGCCTTAATGGTAGTTTGATATTTTGACTGAATTTAAATAAAAGTTTCTCCTTTGAGGGTCAATATACTATTACCGAAAATAACCGAAATAAAGAGGTTTGTCACTGAAGTGAACACCTGTCGGCCTTTCTTTCTCATTGCGTCATGCTTCCTGACTTCTCTTCATTTCTTTGCTCTGTGTCTCCACAGCGCTGACAGAGCCTTCGTTTCCCGACGGCTTCGTCCTCTCCTTGCCCTTGCGGACCAGCTACATGCACGGCCTGGTGAGGAAAGAGATAACCGAGATGTACGCCTTCACCGCCTGTGTGTGGCTCAAGCCCAAAGAGGGGGGCATCGGGACCCCCTTCTCGTACTCCGTGCCCGGGCAGCCCAACGAGCTGGTCCTGCTGCAGGGGGTCCACAATCCTGTCGAGCTGCTCATAAACGACAAGGTACAGAGAGCTTTAGTCACACCTATCAGTCGAAAATCAACACCTGTCAGGGATGCAGCGATCCACTTTTTTTTCCCACTTCCGATACTGATGCTGATTGGTATTTCGACCGATACTGATGCTGATATCTGAGGTTTAATCTCAACCCATACCGATCTGGCAGGGCTGGAAATGACACGTCACGGAAGAGATTTGCTGAAAGTTGAGCAAAGTAAAAGGCAAAACGTGTCCCAGAGGTTTCTTTGAGCTAAAGCTAAATAACGATGGCTGTCGTTCGCCATGGGGGTTTCAACACCCACGCTTTCCATGGTGAGACGTTTAAACACCCTCACTTTTTATGCAGTGTAGCTAAAAAAAAAAGCTGCGTTTCTGCTTTGTCGTCTTCATGTCACCAACCTGAGTGTGCGCAGCACAAGTCTTTGTAAGCAAGACTTACAAAGACTTTTACGTGGTGTCGCGTTTTATGTTTCACATTCCGTCGCTAAATTTGCGCCCGCCACGCTGCGCTCCTCTCTTGATGTTTGTGCTTCTCATGTATGGAACACCAAGAGGACCAAAAAGCTGCGCGATTTGTATGAAAAGTACTTTGTTGACATGCAAGCATTCGCAACTGAAAGCGCAGGTAAAATAAACCTCACCACCAGCAAATAACAGATTGTTTTCATTCAATCAGAATGACAAAAAAAATACTTGAACTTTGCATCCTTATAATGTGCTGCTACTGTGTCTGTTTACAGCTGCAGGAGGTGAAACACAAGTTATTCACCACCATCACGCTTTTTCCCCCCTTCTTTTTTACCTTTAGGTGGCGCAGCTTCCACTGTCCCTACCCCAGAATGAGTGGCAGCACATCTGCGTCAGCTGGACCCTGCGAGACGGCGTGTGGAAGGCCTACCAGGGGGGCAAGATGAAGGGCAGAGGAGAGGGACTGGCTGCCTGGCATCCCATCAAGCCTGGAGGAGTCCTTATACTGGGACAGGAGCAGGTGGGCTGGACAGATGGAGGGAGAGAATGTTGGACAATGGGCCATTTATGTGGGAATAATGTTTTTGTAATGAATGAATGGTGTCAGGGTGTCCTCAGAAACAACTTAAATTCATGTATCTAAAATGCAGGCTGCAAGATGTCAAAAATGTGTTTTTAAAAATGTTAATCATAATCATAACACTTTTTACATATTTGTTGAAACTGTCCTCTATCATTAGAGAATGGTTTGACACGAGTCATCTATGAAAAGCCCGTGTCTTTTCGCAGTGCTGGCTAGAAACGACCAATCAGAACCAGGAGGCGGGTCTTGACACACTGTCAAGCGTTGCTCTTTGCTACAGCTAGCGTAGCATGTTGCGAACGCTCAGGCTAGTCAGCATAGCCACGGATTATAGCAGATAAACAGTTGTTCTGTGGTGGCAAGTTGACTCTCCGCCGTCAGCACATTGACTGGCAGCGCTAAGACCCTCCTCCTGGCTCTGATTGGTTGTTTCTGACTGGGAGCGGTCTGAAGGCAGTTGTAGCGAAAGAATGCCCCAGAAATCTTTAACTGAAAATACCAATAGGTAGTCTACTAAACACAAGGCAGCTTAGGCCACTTGTAACTGGCTGCTAATATAGCTAACTACCTTTTTTGTGTAAATTTAACATTCGTCTTAATCATTGGCTCACTTCTGTTGCCCATCCACATGAGGCTTGGCGCAATCTGTGCAAAAAAAAAAAAAAAGAAACCTTTTCACTATGTGGGTCAAGGCTGTAGAGAGAATCACAAAACATGCTGTTCTGTCACTTTAAGACCATTAAACGTCTGCCGAAACCCTGTAGACAGGAGTTCTGATCAGCAGATGAGAAGCCGATGACCTCAAGAGCATCAGCGGTGCTGATCCGTACAGCTGGTTGCCACCCTCCTTCATTAGTCAGTCAGTGGCGTTACATAACCATCATCAAATCTTGTGTTAATGAAATCCCTCCTGGCTGCTGTCAAAGAAACAACCGAGCGCTCACTCTGCATCGCGTCGTCCTGGCAAAGCACTTGGCAGGGCTTCCAATTCAATAAAGCGATGCACCAACGCTAAACAGGTTGATTTGATGGGTAGGTTTTCGATGGCACTAGCACTTCATTAATCTCTGCTGTAAACAGCTGATGGATTGTTGTTGTGTGGATGTGTTGACTAGATTTTATTGGAAAATCCCTCCACCCCACAACCTCAGGAGGCAGCCCTAGAGTAGAATAAACAGTTTTAATCTTATTTTTGTAGAATTTGTAGGATTTTGATCCTTTTTCATTACTGCTTAAGCAGGTCAGAGAACACGGTAGTAGACCGGTTTCCTGGCAGCATTGTAGCTCGACAGACTTACAGTAGGTCACTGTAAGCATGAGTTGATGACGATGATAGAAAAGGATTAAAACACAGTTTGGTATAACCCCGATGATGGTCACAGCTTTGCTGTTATTCAGACAAAATGTAAATCCTGCATAAAGGGATATAAAAAATTAGCACATAATTATTTTTTGTAAGATCTGGAGTAAATAAAGGGTCGATATCCCTGATACCAATACCGATACCAATATCAATATCAGAGCTCTTCATTATTTAGGTTTGATGTATCATCAAGCTTTTGACGTTTAGGTGTTTTTGTAGGTTTTGCTTTTAGGTATTTTGTTAAAGACTGAATTTGGACAAAGTTAATAGGTCTCTGCAATATACATTATTAACATATTAGCATGATAAACAGAAAAGTAGAACAAGTTTATGTGCATTTATTCCCAGATAAAGTGCAGAAAAAAGTTACAATTTTGTTTAAGCGTTTAAGGCTGAGAAACTGCAATATTGAAATGAAATCCAAATTTCAACAGGGAATTTGAAACTGAAGTATCAAGCTGATATTGATCCGATACTGATATCAATATCTTTGATATTTTGGATCGATTGATCCACTTCTATTGTATATAAGATTTGCAGACAAATGACATACTTTTATGTAATTCCCTACATTTTTCATGCTTTGTTTTTTTTATCGTAATTGCTCATAAGTTTGTGGTGCTAAAGCTCAGTGGATGAATATATTTGGCAAAGCACTGCTTAAGATGAAACGAGCAAACATTCAGCAGACGTTCAGCCACTTGTTGGTCACAGTGTTTTGTTTTTCTACCCCAGGACACGCTCGGCGGCCGTTTCGATGCCTCCCAGGCTCTGGTTGGAGAGCTGTCCCAGTTCAACCTGTGGGACCGGGTGCTGAAGCCCGCTGAAGTGGCCGCTCTCGCCGACTGCAGCTCCTCGGCGCTGGGCAACATCGCCCCCTGGACCGATCAGGACGTAGACGTCTACAACGGCGCCACCAAGGAGTCTCTGGACCCCTGCCACGCCACCCAGAGGTCCGGCCCCTCCGGCCCCAAGCAGTGAACGCTTCACGGTGGGGGGAGGCCAATCACCAGCCAATCACGGCTCTGTTTGGCGGTCTACGTAGGAGTCCATTCTGATGTTTAAAAGTGTACCAAGCCGGAGTTTAGAGTATATTTTGCTTCAAGGCGGGCGGGGAAACTTGCCGGTCTACTGAGCGGCCTGTGCTGCCGCGCTGTAAAGAGTGGTGTATTCGTTTTGTTCTTTGTGTTGGTGTACACGCACACGTGTTTACTTCTGCAGCGAGACGCGGCGCCTTCAGTCACAGAATCACCTGTAAAGGCGGCACAGCGGCTCAGCTTCTGGCTTTCGCAGGCTCAATGAGGACGCGTCTCGCGGCAAAGCTGCGTTTCCACTGACCGCATACGTGCGCAAATTGGAATTCGCCGAATGGAAACAAGAGGCAATTTCGATGAAACGTCCATTTTTCGGTGAAAACGTTTGCAATCGGATGAGTTGCGAACTTTCGCAAAACCTCGCAAACACGGCATGTCTTTTCATTGTGTGAACCAACGTATTTGCATGACTTCAACGCCGTCGCTCATTTGACGGCGACACAGCAATTGCAAAATTGTGTTTCTTTTCCCGACAACTCGCAGGGAAATGGAGACATCTTTGCGCACATTTGCGGTGGAAACGCAGCCGGAGACGCGTCTTGTCGTTTAGCCTTAGGGGATTGTACAGGCAGAAGGTCCGATGGTTCTGTGGTTATGCTATGTTATGTCATGTCATGTATGAAGCTGCAGTTAGTCCATTTCTAAGGTTTCTCAGACAGCACAGTGACACCAGGTTCTGTCTCCGCTCGTCAGGGTCGTTATGAAACCCGAGACGCTGTTTGTGCTCATTTTGACCCAGATCAAAAAAAAAAAAAAGAAAAAAGTTTTTTATTTTGTTGTTTGTTTTTGTTTTGCTTCTCAATGTGTTGATTCTGTTGAGTGATGGTGATTTTGGATTTTTCTGTAGCGCACACCACAACCCGGCAGAACCGTTTGACGCTAAATGTGCAAGTTGTAACGTCCTGTTGGTAATGTCGCCCTGTTCTAGTCTCCTGCTCTCCTGCTTCGCTGTAAGAACGTCTCATACGTCACTGTCCCGCAGGTCAGGGGACGAATTGAAATCTGCTGCTGCGCAACACACGCATCTCTTCTGGCTTCTGGAAAAACACGCACCTTGCCTCCCTGACTGCGTGTCGCTTTGGTGAAACTGCGATGCTCCCTGAATGTGAACCAGATGAAACAAGTGTGTCTGCATGAGTGTTTCCTGTTTGTAAAAAGAAAACAAAAAATTGAGAGAAAGAAACGTAAACTTGCAAATGAATCAGATTTTTCCCATTAAGAAATATTTGAGTAGGAAATTATAACCTCTCAGTAAATGCTCAATGGTAAATGGACTGATTGGACTGATTCCTGAGCTATGAAGAAATCTGTTATATAATTGGCTGTTATGTGAAGAAGAAAAGCCTTTATCTAACTGAAGAAGAAGAAAAAAGAGAAAACAAGCAAATAAACAGAAAAGTTGCTTTTGAAACGCTGCACCCTTTCGTCCCCGACTGTGTCTGATTTTCTCAGTTTTTCATTTCCACCGCAATAGGAAAGTTGCATATCGATGCTTGTTTATGTTTTTCCCCTCAAAGCTGAAATCCCACATAACCCGAGAAAATTAGAACAATCACTTCTCAAATAATGTCTTTATTTATTCAGAGGACAAAAGAAAATCTATTCAAAGCAACGTGACCGTCAACACTATACTGAAAAATGACTCGAAATCTGCTTCTCTTCTTTCTCATCACCCCATTTGCATCATCGGGAACCCTTTTTGTGTGCCTCTGTTTTCAAATAAGCAGAAATGAAAGTATGGAACCGTCACATGGACCGCCTGCGGACACGCAACGCAAAACGCGCAGTGTGACCCAGATGACCCCGCAGGCTTCGACGCCTTGAGTGATTTCATTTAGCTGTGGTCGGATTACGACACACACAACGTGTTTACAGCGTGAGGACACGCGTGCATATGTGTGAGATGGTCGCAGCACTCATTAGAGCTCTGGCTCTGGAAGCAGACATACGCCGTTACTCATGACTTTAACTAGGACCGTGTGGATTCGTGACTGCTGATCGGCCCACACGTTTTCTTGCCTCCCACTGACAGCACACCACAAGATAATTAATCTCTCCCGAGATTAATATCCTTTTGTCCTTTACAACCAATTGAAATCTTTCAAAAGAATACATTAATACTTAATCCGTGTTCTCCCGATATGAGACTGCTTCGAGTTTTTGACCTTTTGAGGTAATTTCTTACAGCTCATTACAGCCAGAGCACAGGCTTAAGGCTGCAGTATAACTTTTATAATATATCAAAATTACATATTTGTTGAAAGTGCCACTATGTTGTGATAATATAGTATGAGTCAATCTGCGAAAAAATCTAGCTCCTCTGCCTTAGGCCCAGTTCTCCTTGCTCTCTGCTATGCTACAGTGTCTTCCCAACAGCTAGCCTGTCATGAATGCTTAGCTAGGTAGCATAGCCTCCCATGATGGCGATGAACAGTCTTCCTGTGACATTAATTCTTTCCCCTGCCATTAGCACATTGAGCAGAAAACAAGAGGATGATTGACAGCGGCAAGACCAGCCTCCTGGCTCTGATTGGTTGTTTTTGGTCGGGAGCTGTGCGTTTCTTCAGACGGTAACAGTAGCTCGAGAAGAAGATGAAGGTGATGCATTTTTCATCGCAGATTATCTGTCACAACATGGTGTCAGTTTTAACTAATATGTGAAAAACATATTTTGCATCAAAGCTACGCGCGTCACCTGCAAGCGTGAAGTCAGAAGACAAAAAAAAAAAGAGTCAGTCATCAACATCACTCGGTTAGATAATCAGTCAGTGCAGATTTTATTTTCTTCACAGCCTGGCTGATATTCTTGGCTCCATGTTTCTGTTTATATCGCCTCTGTCACAACAGCAGAGTCGCATGGGGTCTTCTTCTCCCCCTCCCCGACAATCTGCTTCTGAATTATGGATACGGCCCACCTTCATTACCTCTCTGAGGGAGGTGGTTCACGATAGAAACAAAAACTGCTTGTCGCCTCGCCCAGCTGAAGGAGCTCAAATATTCATTCCTGCTGCAAATATTCATGACTGAGTTTTCTTTCATATCGCCTGCGGGGTTTGAGGAGTTGAAGCTTCCTTCAGACTTCCAAGGTAACAGATGAATTTTAGTGCCACTGAACACCTTACCTCACTGCTGTGAAGCTGCTGTTATAAATATGGAAACAACTTCAGTGAGACTCTCCTTACAGCCATGACCCTCTCTGTCTGTGGTCAGAGTCTCGTTCATCTGTTCGTTGACTCACCCAAGACTGCAGTCCTCAGCCCATCTTTGTTGGTCTTCCTGGTATGTTTTGAAATATTCTTAACCAGGGGTAGCAGAGTAAAGGGGTCTGAATGCAATTTCATTTTTGTCATAAAACAATAATCATATTGTCAACCTTTGTTTTTGTTTTTTTTTGTTTTGGGGGGGGGAGGGGCAAAAGTGATTATTGCACAATAAAAGAGTAATTTTTTTGTTTTTATTTATTTATTGACAAAAGACGATTTACAGGGTGCGGTGGGGAGGAAAGGAATCACTTTTGGAAAAAAAATAGATTTAAGGCCGTTTTAGTTCTGCTTTTGAAAGTTGGCGTTGACGGCACGCGAACCGTTTAGAGTTTATGTTCATTTCCCTCGCCACTGGATTTGTGGACATGCATAGAGATTGCTGCAGAGCCACAAAGTGTAAAATACACAAGTCCAATTGATCCAGTGAGTTTGTCTTACCTCAAAATTAAACTAGTTGTGATGTAGGTTTCACATTACGTATAATTTGTCATTTATGACACAACACCATACAGTTTGTATTTGTATTTGTGTTGCAAACAAAAGTTGTGTTTTTGTTTGCAACATGGCTGTGTTGAAGTCATATAAGGCTGAAGTCAGCTGATGGGGTTTTTTGATTTTCCTCATATGACATGTGCATCTGAGGTGTACATGAGAACACAGTAAATAAGACTGGCAGAACTGGTTTGTGAAGGCAAACTGCAAAAACTGGAATGGCCACAAGTCATCCTAGAAGATCTGCGGTGGTTGTCATGTGCCAGGCTTTACAAAGTCTATCGTGTCCCAGCAATGTTGTGACCTGTGAAACGGCTTATTTACTGCTCCGTCACTGCTGAGGCAGATGATCAGGCAGCAAGATTCCTCCTGAGCCTGGCCCGACCTACTAGCCATGCCACGGCTGCTCCTTCACAGCAGCTTGTTTCATTAGCATTGCTGGACAGAGGACATAAGAGGCATATCCTTTCCTTCTGGAGTTGAAGAGACAAAAAACTGAGTAAGTCGTGTTTTTGGTTAAATATATTTCACTGAATTCGCATTCCCTGTCAGGGTTCTGGTATGTCACATTGTCGCAATCCGCCAGTGTTTGTGTTCCGTACTCCAGAGTTTATCGCTGACAGAAAACATTTTGCCGTATTTAGTTATTATTGGGTTTTGCTGTTTTGAGTCAGTCTGTTGTGTTTAGTTTCTTAGTTTATTCCGGCATTCTGTTCTGGGTAGACTTGGATTCATTTCTCTGAAATCGGCAGTAATTTTCCCCACTTGACGTCTAGTAATGCTGGGAGTATTGATCTAAATATCGATACTGCCGATACCACGTTGGGTATCGGTATTGGATCAATACGAGAGTGATAAGATTGATACTTTGGTTATCTAACCATTTCTCTTAAAGAAAATCCAGGTAATCTCCATCAAGAAATCAATGCTTTTCACTGTGATCAGAAATACAGCTTTATCAAACTGATGAAGTTATTATTGTCTAATTCAGGGATCTGAAATGATAAACTCCAAAAAATATATAGTTTTGTAAAGTAAAGAGCAACCAGTGATGTATTCTCTTCTGTGTGATCAGATGGAAATACAGCATGTTACCATGACCAAGGCTTGAGGCAGCAAACTGACAGTCTTTTCAAAATCCTGCCTGGACAAAACGGTTTTGATTTTGGTCATTTGCAGACTGAATTATGTGTCAAATTACGTGTCAAATTAAGTCTAATTTCATCCTCAGACCATAAGCGGTGAGTTAAAGAGACACGATTCATATGGTTTTAAAATTATTATTATAGAAACTCAAAAAATTCAGGACCTTCCTCACTTTTATTCCACTTAGGAATTTCAACAAAGGATAAACATAGCGGGCATTACGTTTATTGAAAGCATAACAGTGAAATTAAGTACCAAATGTCCTGAAAATGGAATCAAAGGACAGGAGACACAGAAAAGGAAGGGACCTAGTATTCAGCCCTGAGGCTCCCCACAGCCACAAGACACTGAAGATGACACAAACTCACTCATGTGGACGTAAAAATTGCCAGTCAGGTGAAACCGAGACCAATCCAAGGCTGCACCTTAAACGCCAACGCAGCTCTCACAAAGAGAAATGAAAATACTCTGATTCCCTGAGTTACAGGTTTAAAAGCAACATAATTACCAGAATCAGTTGGTAATTATGCTATTTTAATCTTTTCTTAAATCAGCAGACTCCCAAAGGTGAAGCTTTTTACAACCAGACCGAAACACCTCAGAATACCAGATTTTATTTTTTTTTCTAGCAATTAATTTAATTATGTAAAAAATAAATACAAATTGTGGTTTTATATATATATATATATATATATATATATATATATATATATATATATATATATATATATATATATATATATATATATATATATATATATATATATATATATATATATATACTGGATAGCTCAATACATAAGGCATCAGTATATCACCCGAGAGGGCGGGGGTTCGAATCCAGTCTGGGTCCTTAGGCAAGACCCTTCAAGCTACTGCCTACCTCATACCATGAGAGATACTAAGTTGCATAACATGCCGGCTCAGACGTCGCCCGGCCAAACAAGGTCTGCGTCAGGTGTTGGGGAACCAGAGCACCTTGATGACAAATGGGCTACTGGAACAAGACGGAAATGGGCGAGAGATGAAAATGTGGATCTGTTGGAATGCTACTACTCAAGTAACCCTAGTGAGAGAGGTTACATGCAAAGACTGGGGAAGGAATGGTTACTTCGACATCCCAGTCAACACTAAGCGCTAAACAACTAGTAGCTCAGTGTTCCAACATCCGCAAACGGCAACTGCTATCACAACTTGAGATTGACGAGATACAACACAAATGCTACGGCAAAAGGGAGGAACCCGGATGTCAGGACTGTGGGGACTTAACTACAAGTCCCCACCCAGTGAGGGGATACACGGCCCCAATGAGCGAAACAGAGCTGAACGAGACAGCTGCTGACCTGAGAGAGAGAATCATGACCCGAATGACAACCAGGACTCCGCGGCGCCAATTACAACGGCTGAGTGAAGTACCATCTGAAAGTCTCATTGAGAATGTGAATGCAGCATTGAGAACGATCCCTACCAACACCATAACAGAAACCAATGAGCTGATCTACAACTCAGCATCAGTGATCCTTGAGATACTTGGCTATAAGAGCAACCATGAGACCCAATACCCACCATGGAAAAGACGGTTAGAGGCTAAAATCAAGGTAACAAGGAGGGGGAAGTGAGCCAACTGTCAGAGCTCCACAAGGGTGCAATGAAAAGACCAGTACCCAGAAAGTACAGGCAGATGCCCATACCTGAAGCACTCGAGACTGCCAAACAGAGGCTCCAAGCCTTGTCCAGCCGCCTAAAGAGATACACAAGGGAGAATGAATCCAGAAGGATTAACCGGCTCTTCTCCACTCAACCAGCTAAGGTGTACTCTCAATGGCAGGGTAACAATAACAACAGAGCAGACCCACCAAGGCTGGAGACGGAACAATACTGGAAAGGCATATGGGAAAGGGAGGCGTCCCACAACAGCAATGCACAGTGGCTGATCTCTCTACGAGAGGACCACAGCAACCTCCCTGAGCAAGCCCGGTAACCATCACTGTGACAGATGTCCAAGAAAGAGTCTCAGGTATGAAAAACTGGACAGCACCAGGGCCTGACATGATCCATGCCTACTGGCTAAAGAAACTCACTGCTCTCCATGAGCGAATGGCAGCCCAAATGAACCAGCTGCTACAAAGTGGGACTCACCCTGAATGGTTAACTGAAGGACAGACAATCCTAATCCAGAAGGATCCATCAAAGGGTCCAGTCCCACCCAACTACCGACCAATAACCTGCCTCTCCACAACCTGGAAGCTCATGTCAGGCATCATAGCGGCCAAGATAAGCAAACACATGGATAAACACATGAGCACGGCACAGAAGGGTATCGGTGTAAATACCAGAGGAGCCAAACACCAACTCCTCGTAGACCGCACAGTTGCCCGAGACTGCAAAACCCGACACACCAACCTGTGCATGGCTTGGATTGATTACAAGAAAGCCTATGACTCAATGCCGCATACTTGGATCATTGAATGCTTAGAGATGTATAACATCAACAGGACTCTGAGAGCCTTCATTGCAAACTCGATGAGGCTGTGGAAAACCACCCTTGAAGCCAACTGCAAACCACTTGCACAAGTGTCCATCAAATGTGGCATATACCAAGGAGATGCTCTGTCCCCGCTACTGTTCTGCATAGGCCTGAACCCCCTCAGCCAAGTTATCAACAAGACTGGCTACGGATACAGACTCAAAAATGGGGCCAATATCAGTCACCTACTCTACATGGATGACATCAAGCTGTACGCCAAGTGTGAGCGAGACATTGACTCACTGATCCACACCACCAGGATCTACAGCACGGACATTGGGATGTCATTCGGACTAGAGAAATGTGGTCGGCTGGTCACAAAGAGGGGGAAGGTCATCCACACAGAAGGGGTCTCACTCCCAGAAGGAACAATAGCAGACATAGAGGACAGTTACAAGTACCTAGGTATACCACAAGCAAATGGCAACCTCGATGAGGTCACAAGGAAAGGAGCCACAGCTAAATACCTCCAACGAATAAGGCAAGTCCTGAGAAGCCAGCTCAATGGCAAGAACAAAATCTGTGCGATAAACAGCTATGCCTTGCCAGTAATCAGATACCCTGCTGGAATAATTAGCTGGCCAAAGGAGGAGATAAAAGCCACAGATATTAAGACCAGAAAGCTACTAACAATGCATGGAGGGTTCCATCCCAAATCCAGCACCCTGAGACTGTACACGAGCCGCAAGGAAGGAGGCAGAGGACTAGTGAGTGTGAGAACCACTGTCCAGGACGAAACAACTAAGATCCATAAATACATCAGGGACAAAGCCTCAACAGACAATGTGCTCAGTGAATGTCTCAGACAACAGGGAACGGAGGTTGAGGTGCCAGAGATACCATCATGGGAGGACAAACCCCTACATGGGATGTACCACCAGCAAATAACCCAAGTGGCTGATATCAGTAAATCCTACCAATGGCTGGAAAAAGCTGGACTCAAGGACAGCACAGAGGCCCTCATCCTGGCAGCCCAGGAACAGGCCCTAAACACCAGAGCAATAGAGGCCCAGATCTACCACACCAGACAAGACCCAAGGTGTAGGTTGTGCAAGGAGGCCCCTGAGACAGTCCAGCACATCACAGCAGGGTGCAAGATACTGGCAGGGAAAGCGTACATGGAGCGACATAACCAAGTGGCAGGCATAGTGTACAGAAACATCTGTGCAGAATATGGACTGGAAACCCGAGATCAAAGTGGGAAACACCCCCAAAGGTGGTGGAGAACGCCAGAGCTAAGATCCTGTGGGACTTCCAGATCCAGACAGACAAAATGGTAATGGCGAACCAACCAGACATTGTCGTAGTGGATAAACATCAGAGGAAAGCCGTTGTGGTAGATGTAGCAATACCAAGTGATTGCAACATCAGGAAAAAGGAGCACGAGAAACTAGAGAAATACCAGGGCCTCAGGGAGGAACTGGAGAGGGCCTGGAAGGTGAAGACCACAGTGGTGCCTGTGGTCATCGGTGCCCTCGGGGCAGTAACCCCCAAACTGGAGCAGTGGCTACAACAGATCCCAGGAACAACATCAGACATCTCAGTCCAGAAATGTGCAGTCCTTGGCACAGCCAAGATACTGCGCAGAACCCTCAAGCTCCCAGGCCTCTGGTAGAGGACCCGAGTTCAGAGGATAAGAACCACCCGCGGTGGGTGAGAAGGGAATTTTTTTTTTTTTTTTTTTTTATATATATATATATATATATATATATATATCTGTATGCTACTTATCCCAAAGAGCTGCATTTTTAAAGTGACCTTATTACAAGTTTGGGGATGACGTAAAAAAAAAAAAAGGAAAACCGCAAGAGAGCTTTGTTCGTGAAGGGGGCGGGGCTTGATTACGTCACCTTTTACGTTGAGTGACAGAGTTTTAACCAATCAGAATCCCGCCTGGCTGTAACGGGCGGGGTTTCCTGCTCGCTCCTGTGCCATGTTTGAGATGTCTCCTTAACAACCGATGCGAGAGTCAAACAGGAGAAGTTTTCTTCGGACAAACGTTTGGTACGTAAGCCTTTTCTGTCACTCATTACGTTAACACTCCACGTCAAACGTGAGCTCAGTCCTCATGTCGCAACCTGTTTGTTTAAACTTGACGAGTTATGAGGCAGAAAATACACCCCTCCATCAGCTGTTTGCTCTAAATACAAGCTAAGCTAATTAGCTAGCTAGTGAAACCTTCTTCAGTTACTGTTATTGGCATGTTACGCTCAGTCCAGCTATACAAATGGTCACTTGTTAAAGCCAGAGACCGTAAATAAAGGCGTAATGTTTGTGGTTACTGGCTTGTTGAGGCTCAGTATTACAAGCTAACCTGTCGGCTCATGTTTTAGCATCGTTAGCTTCTAAATTCTCTGTGACTTATGTGTTGCTCAGTGAGTCCATGTTCCTTGTAAGTCACATTGTTATCAGTATGTCTGTAATAAGACAGAACACCTGCTATTTTAGGAGTCGGAATGGCCGGGACTGGTGAGGGAAAGAAGGAAGAGGCCGACTACAAGAGACTGCACAGCTTCCCTCTCATCAGAGTAAGTCAGCGCCACAAACTTCTGCTCATTTGTTTTTGCCGAAACACGGTCAAAAATAACATTCGATACATGCTTGTTAATGAGGTGTTGCAAAGCTGCACGAACGAGCTTCAAAAGATCCACGTTTTTTGGTTCAAAACATTGCTCCACAAACCATCACTAACTGAAGACCAAGCTCTGGTCTGCAAGGCCACCTGGACACAGAGCCAGTCAATAAATTAGACATTAAAATTTGATATAATAATAGATGTGACTTTACTTTGGAAAACGGAAGGGTTTTATTTTGAAGAACCCTCAACGGGATCTGGTTTTGTCTCTTGTCACCATCTTGCCACCTGTTGTTTTCAGTTGCTAGGATACGAACAAAGCCGTCACCAGTGTGTGTTCAATAAAAACTGACCACGAAATGTTCAGCAAAGACATCTGAGCCTCCGTTATAATCGCAGAAGCTTTCACTGCGTAATATTCCTCGTTTTATGTGAACCCCCTTTTTTTTAGCTGCACTTTTTCCTTCCACCAAACTTTCCGTGAAAGATGCTTAAATATGCACACGGTGAAAAATGTTTCCATAATGAAAAAAGAAAAACAAATTTTTTCTTTCCTTTTGTACATCGTTGGTGTCATTCAACATTTTAATTGAAACTAAATGAGGGTTTGCCATCTTTCCTGTAGCGGCCTGTAACACGTGTTTCTCTCCAGCACACAGACATGCCAGAGGAAATGAGGGTTGAGACCATGGAGTTGTGTGTAACAGCCTGTGAAAAATTTGCTACCAATAACGAAGTGAGTGCATTTGTTGACCAGAAGTTTTGATATGGGCATTAGGCATCTAAACCACACAAACCCAATACTTATACAATACTTATACAATACTTACACAATACCCAGTACTTAGTTAGACTTATTGACACATCATGAATTGATGGAGTACAGTATTTTAATATTTATGTACAAATGGGCCTGTCACAATAGCACATTTTTCTGGATGATTGTCCCAGAAGTTATTGCAATAAACGGTAATATTGTTATTCCAAGACCATTATCAGTGATGATGGCGTATTAATGCAAGAACACATTCTCAGAGATCAATAAACTTTAAATTCTGATGAACATTTAACACCGAAACTGGAAGACATTTTAAATATACAAAATGTGTTTGTTGCGTATTTCAACCAGTTCAGAGTATTGTGGTGTGGGGATGTGGGAGCAGGGAATCGTTTAGGTTTTACTTGATTATTTTATTTTTATTTTTTTGGCAATATGCAATTTATTAAACCCAAATTGCATATTTTATTTTATGTGCAAAGGGAGAACATAATGTTTATGCTTCTTGCTGCTCCTTTTAACTCATGCTTTATTTTTTTGTTACATAAATTAGTCCTATTCAGTATTGAGTGAATGAAATAAAGAGAAACAAACTGTAACAGTGTGTATTCTTTTCCCTCTAGAGCGCGGCTAAGATGATAAAGGAGTCCATGGATAAGAAGTTTGGTAGCTCGTGGCACGTGGTGATTGGCGAGGGCTTCGGCTTCGAGGTCACACACGAAGTGAAGAACCTGCTCTACATGTTTTTCGGTGGGGTGAAGAACCTGCGGGGTGGAGTGTGCTCTTAGCGCCGGCTCCCCCAGGCCGCCCCGCCGCGCTAGCCGCGCTGGGATTCGACGCCGGCCCAGACGCCGGCTCCCTTTCACCCACGGCGGATCGGTTCGTCTGAGCTACCAGCCACTGTGGCAGGGAAAGGAAGTACTTGTTCAGAAATAAAATACTATTAGATGGGAATTCCCCTTCCAGACTTTGACTGCCACTTTGGTCTGATACAGATGAAAAAAAAAAAAACAATTGCTTCCTCCCATTTTTGCCACTGTTCATTTTTTATTCTCTTTACCCTTCACTTAAGTCGTCTTCTGTTCTTGAACGTCATTTTGAATGTTTGCGAGCTTGCATGTTCAAGTAAATTACAAAAAAAAAACAAAAAAAACAGCCAGCCAGGGTCTCCAAAGTCCTTTAACCTTCTTTTTTCTTCAGGGGAGTGCATGTGTGATTTCCACAATGGTGTGTGCTGGACACACATTTTTTTTCCGCCCCTCACCAACCTTATATCGCCATCTTCCTCATTAGCTTCGTGCACGTTTTTTTCCGTCCACGTCGTCCAAAACGTTCCACACGTGTCTTTCTCTCTACAACGGCACTACTTTCAATAAATTTTCTAAGATTTTTTTATGTGTACATATTTTAATGCAACTTGAGAGGCATCGTTTTAAAGACCGGTGTTTTTCTTACGACTAAGGGCTCAGAGTGTCCTGAGCCAAATTAACACTAAACTTGATTCACTTTTTCTCCTTGCTGAGGTGTGGGTGTGTGGGTGTGTGTGTGTGTGTGTGTGTGTGCGTGTATGTGAAAAGCCAGATGAATATAGCATTGTGATTGTCTCACGTTGATGCCAGTTATGATGATCGAATGCAATGGGCCATTATTTGTGAACCTACTTGATTGTACAATAAACTGAAACTTAGAGAAATTAGAAGTCAGTGTCGTTTTTTTCCTTGTAGTGTTTATTTTAAAGGTAGCCTATAATTGTTTTATTTTTTTAATTTTTTTTTTTGTGCACCGATCTGACCTGACAATTCCAATCTTGGCCATAACAGATTCTCTTTTTTCTTTTTTGTTTTTGTCAAAAAAGTTGCTAAATACATTAGCAACCACAGACTTTACAAAATAGGTGAGTTTGGTTTTACTTGAAAATATTGGCTGTAGCCACAACCTTCAGTGTATTTTATTAGCATTTTCCCCTGCAATTATAAATGATAAAAGAGACCTTCAAATATTACCCATGTATAATATAGAATCCACCTGAGTGTCGTTCAGTCATTTTAGCTAAATCTATGAAGCAGCCACGTTAACTCTGGAGGAGCTGCACAGAAAGGCCTAGAAAAGTGGGTGGAGTTTACAGCAGGTCGACAAACCACCAACAGAAGCGGAGTCATAGATTAGCATGGTGAAGCTAAGGTCCAGACTGTAATCCAAATGAGAATCTGGGGAATAACCGGTTCACAAATGCTTTTGATTTGCTCTGAAAAAAAGCATGCGCTTCAGAAATCGAACTATACCAGTATGTGAAACGGCCTTTTTCAGAAGAAGCAAACACAACAAACTGTTTTTAAAAAATTGCTTATAAGTGTGGAAGAAGTGCCAGTCATTGAGGCAAAATGACTTTCAAGGAGCTGCTGAATTTCAGAACATTTCAGTTCAGCTTCTTACGTCATCGTGGAGAGAGAGAAAAGAAAGCATAGACACCTGCGGTTTCGACGAGGACGGCTTGAGTTCAACAAATCTGTGTTTCTTCATTCCTGCTTGTGAAAAATGAATGTGCCTTCATACACATAATCAACCCACCTGCAGCACTATCGAAAAAATTGCATTCCTTAACCCCCGGCAAACCATAAATGATGAAATGTGGTTTTATTTGATTGGTATTTTTTTCTTCTCTTCTTCTCAAAGTCAGGAGGGCTTTGTGACCCAGCCATAAAGCTACTGAGGCCATCAGTATTGACATATCAACAGGATTTGCCAACTTCTGTGTCATCATCGCAAACACAGGTCAGGTCAGGTCAGGTCAGGCTGCTCTCTGTGCTCACAGTCTCTTACCCTTTTTTCTCCAAGTCACACTAAATGTGATCACCAATATCCTGAATACGTTGGAGTGGATTCATTGCTACCCCTGAGTTTAATGATCCTGATTTCTTGCATGTCTATGGCTTACAGTGTTACTGTAAATGGAGGACAAACATGTCATTTGAAGAATCCCGTCTCCTGCTGCAGCTTTCTATGCAGTGGGATTGATATGTGATCTGTACATGTTGGTGGAAGTAGTTAAAATGGAAATCATAAGCTTCTTGTCCTTTTGACCTGCAAAAAGCGCCCGTGGCGCTGGAAGAGCGAACAGCCACGGCCGACACCCACACAAGGCACCAAGCGCCAGAACCGGTCAGCAGTTTGTTCTTGTGATTTACTCGCTCGGCAAAGTTTATTGTGAGTTCATTTGCATTGATAAAACTTAGAATACCTGGTTTCTCTGCAGTGGCAATGAAACAATGAGTGTCAAAAAGAGCGGGAGCTTCTTAAAGAGACAGACGCCACTTTCTTTTAAATGATGTTTTATATGTGCAGCATTTTCGTAACGACTGACGGTAACATAGATTCTTGATTGAGTGCCTGGAAAATGCGTAATGCGTCCGCTTTGACAAAGACAAATATTTTCCACAACACTGCTCGCCACTTTGCATCAACTAAACTGACTCATACTAAGATCTGTGTGAAAAACATTACACAGCATATAGAATCCCACCGACATGACAAGATGATTCATTACGATTCTGGAAGACAGAGGAAAAAGAAATGTATGCGACATTAAAACCTAGCAAATGTTTTGGCCAAGTGGTTGAGAGAAAACAGAAAAAAATTAAGTGCATAAATTAGTACAAAATTTAAAAATGTAAAACTGGACTAACAAGAAAATATCATCAGTAATAATTAAAGTTATTGGCAGACAGCTCTAATGAACATTAACTGTTAGAGACAGATCCCAGTGAATGTTGATCAGATTCAGCAGCCTCACGTTTGCCCTGCAGGGTGAATATCTGTGAAACTGCTCGGTTCGGTGCGGCTCCGCTGGAAACAAGTTCGTTCACCAGACTTCAGATGTTGACAAACAGGCCCAGTTTTTCGATCGCTGACCCAATTCTAGACGCAAACACCCGAGCGTGATGACTTTTGACAGGGATACCGTGGGATTGATGGGACTGATGCCAGCATAATGCACTGATAGCTTTCACCTGGATTTACCCAGTTGACCTATTTCATGGGGAGAGGCTGTTACATTCTGCAATTACTGTAACAGCGCCGAGACTAATCCGGCGAACGGTGCCTCGGCGAACATGCCTCTATCACAGGCGCGGCCTCATCCATTATTAACCCCGGAGACCTTTTACGTGAAGCCCCACCTCTTCCCTGTGTCTCCTCCACGCGGTTAAATATTCATGCAGAGAGCCACAGTCACACAAAACACTCCGGTTTGTTTGGTCTGAAAATCTCTCCCCAGTGTGAGTGCGAATCTTTCTGAAAGAGGCTCTTTGGAGCTTTCATTGACGTAACAGCGACATTTTTGTCTGGGGGAAACGCCTTGTCCACAAGAAGGTACAGAATGAGATGCGCAGTGAGGCCATTGGCCAGACAAGGGTTTGGACTGATCTGCACGTCTTCACTGCACTGTCGTCTTTCCTCATTTGTCCTTTGTAAAACCGGATGTTACATGCAGAGAAAAGTTCACCTGCAAGAAAGGGGCTTCCTTTCTTGCAGGAAGACCTCCTGCTGTTCAGGTCTGAACAGATGAGGCTCCCAAATGTTGTCTGATCTGGCACATCTGACAGAGGTTAAGATTCCACCAACAACATCAAGACAAGAAAGCCACTGTTTTAATATAAAACTATATAAAATCAAATAATCAAAGACATTATTAGAATAATCTTGTTGATTATTCAAATTTTGGGTTAAGCCTAATCCCCAAGGGTTGTTGTATTGAAGGGCTGTGATTGGCTGATATAGGTTCTAGCTTTGCCCCACATCGCCCCCTGCAGGTTTGACATGTTTAAAGCAGCAGTCAGTGTCGTTCACTGACTGTTGGATGAACACCTCACTTGGACCGATCGGGTGAAAACGAATATCTCTGCTAAGGCCTCGAAAAGCAAAGCGCTGATTGAAATGTCCACGGCATTATTAAAGTTAGTCCTCTACTCGTTGGTAGTTTTGGCCTTTGAGCAAGAAAAGCTTAGTGTTGTATCTTAGCAACCGCCTGACCACCTGCGATGACAAGTGGAGGTGTGGAGCGTTCATGAGTGTGAGTCCAAGTGTGTCACTGCAGCACAGAGGGGAACGAAAGAAGACGGATGCATCACGGCAAGGCGACTCCTACAAGTCAGCGGAGCGATTAAGGGGGTGGTGATTTCCAGAATATTCTGATTTGAGGGAAGGTTGGAGGATGAAGAGATTTTTAAGGGTAGATGACTAAGAGGAGCTTGTTTGAAGGCAGCCGAGAAACTGGAGACTTGAGGCATCAGAGGTTCAGAAATGAGAGGAAGGGATGAATCTTTCATCTGGATGCCACCACCAGGATTCTTTTTTTAAACGGAGAAATGCAAAACACAATGCATTGTTAATGTGGATGTGTCTTTCTCTGTGAGGGTGCATAAGGCGAATGCTATTTTTAATTTGAGTAGCTGTACCTGTGGAAATGTTTGGCGACAGTGCCTGCTGAGAAAAAAGGGGGCATCGAAAGCTTTGGGGAAATTGAAGGGGGTAGAAGGGAAGAACAACAATAGGCAGATATGGAAGGAATAAAAAATGAATAATTTCTATGGATCAAACTTTGCATAGCTTGTTTATAATACATCAGTGGCGTACAGAGACACAGAGCAGACAAAATCTAGTTAGCAATAAGTAGACTCCAGAGAGACTTGTGGGTTATTTGCATGAAAGAAAAATAAGACACTGGAAAGAAAGACATTGAGTTGGCAGTTTTGATTCTGCCTGAATCTTATAATTAATCTCCCCCCCTAACCCCGGCCCGCTTCATGTCTGGGATAACTTTTTTCTCTAAACATATCAAATTGAAAAAAGTAAAGTGAAAAAACAGTAGAGAACAGTCTTTTGCACTTGAAATGTGTGCTTTGCTGCTGCTTTAACCTTGAAAATGATTTAAAATGATGCATAACATAAATCATTCAATAATCCACTGAAACACAAACAAACAAACAAATCTTACTTCACCAGCAATCATATGAACAACAACTCATGGTCCCACTGTTAGAACAAGAAATGAACAAAAAGCTTAGAGCTCCGGTGAATGTTTATAATACATTATAATACATTGTTCTTCTCAAGTTTGGAAATCAGGAGCTTCTGTGTCTCAATGTGCTTCTCCAATATCTCCTGTTTCTTCTTCCTCACATCCTGCTGTAGTCTTAGGCATCAAATTACTTTTAAGAATCATGTATAAGTATAAGGGGCTTAAAACGAAGCAAAATAACCCAAACAACTTTAGTGTCAGAAGGCGGCTGTTCCTCTTGCCATACAAAGGCTCTTAGGTTCAACCCAAGCCTTGAAACTGCATGTTTTCCTCTCACAGTCAATAAAATGCTTGTTATGACTACTGTCAGAACCACATTGGCTGTATGATGGTTTGAGCTTCGCCTCAAAATATACCTCAAACCATTGTACAACCAATACGGCGTGTGCATACTGCTATTACCTGTTGATGCATATTCAACACATACCAAGGCTCTCAATGGAAGGCAAAATCTATTGGTTGGATTTGCATCAAATGATGTATAATCTTGTTAAATTATGTATGTTGCATTTACATGACTGATCAGTATTTCATAATTATTTGACATCAAAATCATTTTAAAAAATTGAAATAACTGTAGGCAGTAATTGCAGCAGGAGGAGTCAACTGCAGTTTGACTCCTCTGGCCTACAAGAAAAACGAGTCAGACAGCTGCAGCTGACTCAAAACGCTGCTGCTGGTGTTCTCACTAAAACTCGAGCAGATCACCCATAACGTCTTTAATCTGGCTCAGAGAATAGATTTTTTTTGTTTTTTGTTTTGTTTACCCCACTGATCTAGAACAAACTTCCAGAAAACTGCAAACGCTTGAAGCTAAAATTCCACCTGCTTCGTGTTGATCAATGACAAACTGGAACATCGATCAATATTTGATGTGTATTTGCTTGGTAAGTTTGACGATTGGCGTTTGACTAAATGTAATGTCCATCGCTTGTTTCATAACTGGTTACTCTATTCTGTTTTTATGGTGTAAAGCACTTTGACTGCTTTTTTTTTTTTTTTTTTTTTTTTTTTTTTGCTGTTTGCTGAAATGTGCAACACAAGTAAACTCCACTTGATTTAACCCCTAAGTCATCCTTCAATTTATCAACGTGCATCATATTTGGTTATCCTACGCAGAGACTCAGCGCTGTTGGAAACTCTTTAGCCCATAGATTTCTCTTCTTGATATTGACTTGTTTTTTTTTGCAAACACTGAAATAATTACCAACCGAGTTCTTGTTTCCCTCTAGGTGAGGAGGTGTTTATGAGGCCTTCGGTTTGGTTGGATTTAAGTAGTTTTTGTTTTGTTTTTTCTAAATTGAATATTTATTCATTCTCCTGTGGTTTGCATGTTAGTTTGCATCCAAAGCAAACATCACCAGCATCATTTACGACGTTTCTTCACAAATGCCGGTGACTAACAAATGGATGTGGCCGACTGTGAGGAAAAAAAAAAAAAAAAAACGGAAAGAAAACCAAGTCTAGTGCTTTGAGCTGATATTAAATGACTCACAACGCCGCGATTTCTCATCAATGTATTCTCAAGAGCGTCACATGGCTACGACACACGGCGCACGTGGAGCGGGCTGAGCGAGCACGCGCGTGGTTATAAAACATGCAGCGACACACATACACACACACACACACACACACACACACACACACACACACAAACACACACACACACACACACACACACACACACACATTAAAGAGCCCGACTTCACAGGAGCGCCGTGTCTTCAGGGATCCTCTATCAGGCCTGGCGAGCCTGATGAAGTCTCAGTGTAGAACATGAAGCCTCTGTCTCCCTGTTCTTCCGGTTGACAGCTGCTTTGCTTGCATGCTATTTTTTTTTAATATTCATAACGACATGTATTTTTTAAACTGTTTCCTTTGTCTTGCTGGTTTTATGGTTTTCTCTGCAGCTGCTCTGAAACAAAGTTTTTGTTTGCGCGTGCTTTGCGAAGGGAGTCGATTTAAATTCCTGTACGCACGCGAGACCGACCAGGAGCGGTAAAATATTCATCGTTTGGTCAATGGTTGCTGCAGAAGCTTAAACAGAATAAGACTGCATTTGTATTCAATGCAAATGATGACTCTTGTGAGAAAGAAAATCGTCTTCTGGCATCACATATTGGGTTTAAAAGATGAGATAAGTTGTGTGTTAAATGATTCATATGTGTCAGGCATTAAAAAAAACAAACAACCAAAAAAAGCAGAGAAAAGTCATATTACGTAAGAAAAACTGTTTTAAAGAGTAATGAGCAAACACATTGATCTGTGCCCAGATCACTCTAACCTGGCTGCCCTCCCAACTTGCAATTCTGTGAAGTTGGAGGGAGAAAAAAAATGGAGAAAAACGTGATGAATGGAACCCGGGCACAACTCAGTGTCTAGTCTCACTTCTGGAAAAGGCACCAGGACGAGCAGATAAGTCACAAAACAAAGAAACGTGTGAGTATGTCTCCTGCAGCATGCCTTGTCTTTTTACTCTGGGTGTTTAAAGATTATTTAGAAGGAAAAAATAAATAAAAACCTTCAGGACTTTGGTAAAATTCTGATTGCAATTTTGGCTGGTTTTTCCAACTACACCATGTTTGCTCTTCCTCTTTTTGTCCAAACATTTGTTAGCTTTGCTAACACAGCCAGAGAACATTAACATTCACAAAATTTTCCAACTCGCAACCACGATGCAATGTATGGGGCTTTTGCATGATAAATCAACACAAAACAGTGCATGTTTCCTCCATCGATGGATATAAATGCGTGAAAAGGGAGACATTCTTCTTGGAGAACCTTCTGCAAATATTAATGAAGTGTTTTTGGTTACTCTGTCTCCATAGCTTTGCTTTCTCCTGCCTATTTTCTTTTTCTTCACAGTAAATTAAAGTCAGTCAGATCATCTAGGTCATATGTGAAAACAATTTTCAAGTCTTTCTACGGAATTTCAATTTTATTTAGACGTGGACTTTGACTGGACCATTCTAAGATGTGAATAAATTTGAACAAAATAATTCTATCGAAGCTCTTGTTGCACGTTTTGTGTTGTTTTAATGTTTTGTTTTGTATTAACTGCTGTTGAACTCTGTTCACTTGTGTCTGTTGAAGAAATGGACATCCACAGCATGATGCTGCCACCACCGTGTGTCTGACCAGAGTAACTTCTAGCACGCTATTTGTTTGCTAATTTTCTATGACAAATCTCTGAGGTCTTAACAGAACGAATTTATTTGTCTTCTGAGATAAATTGCACACAGAGGACTGTATTTAACAATTAGACCACTTCTCAAGGCAGCTAGTTGCCATCAGTCTTATTTAGGACAGGGGCATCCAAATTTGTTTCACTTTCATTCAAAATATTTGCCATTCCTGTTGTTAAAAATAACATGGGTTTTCAGTAAAAGTCTCTGGAAAGACGTTGTTCAACTCATTATCAAAGCTTGGTTATAAAAACTGGAATACTTTGAGTTGTACTTAACATTCTCTATTTTCTAGAAAACTTGCTAACCCCGGTGTTTGGGGCTTTAAGGCAGTCGTCTATGTGTTTTTAAAAAATGTTTAAAGTTGACAGGAAATTTGAAAACATCACCTGATAATTATGTGTTATTGGAAGACTGGAAGATTAATATCCTAAACTCCAACTGTTAAGTCTTAAAAAAAAAGCAATTGTTTTAAAAAAAAAACTAAAAACACAATAATAAGCCTGGTGGGTACACAAGTAAAGCCTGGTGTCCCGCCAGTGGGTGAAACCCTGACCCCAATTTAAAAACAAAAAGTCTCCATTTGCACTAAACACCTATGCCTGTACCTGGATGGGCATAAACTGCAGTTGGCAGCCACAAAAAGTCAATTTAAGGGACCACAGATGGCCCCTGGGCTGCACTTTAGACACCCCAGAGTTAGTGTAATTGGAACATAAAGTAATGCTTACATACTTTGAAAAACACGTATTTTCTTCCCCTCCGCAAGAATCCTAATGTCCTTGTGTTGTTCTGCCACATACAATCCAACGTTTTGCAGTTCCGAAATGTGAGACTTTAAAGAGGTACGACTACTTTTGCTGTTCACCTTTACTCGTTCAGAACCTATTGTTCGTGCATCTTTTACTATTTCTTATCCCTTTGACCCTCTTGCCTGTCTTTTCAGGAAGATGACATGGTACATGTGGCGTCGCTCCAGGACAATCTGTCTCTCCTTGGCCTTCGTGACCGTTTTCCTCCACCTCCTCCTGGCGCTCGTCACACTTTCCGTCCCTCACCTGCCTTGCGACGCCCCGCTGCCACCAGAGATGCACTTCAGGGTTTTGGCGCGCAACGCCAACACCTCGGCGAGGGACGGAGGGCACGTGGAGCCACCAACAGACGCCCGTCTGGGCGATTCTTCCAATCAAGATGGCAGAAGGGAAGCAAAAGTAAATGTTCATAGACTTCCTTACAAACGCTTGATATGGAAAGGAGACAGACAAGAGACGGAGAACAACACAGAGAGCAACGGCAACCAAACGGAACGCTGGGAGTCCGACATGTTGAAGCTGAAGGCGCTGTTCGACCATCCGCTCTACAACACGCCCAGGGCGGCTGTTGCAGAGGACGACTGGCTTCTGAAAATGAAACCAAAGATCAAACCGAGTCAGAGGAGCTCCCAGATGTGGTCAGTGTTATAATGTTAAAAGAGAGGAAACAACCTGGAATTTCAAGGTTGAAGAGAGAGAGACAGAGAGAGATGAGGCAAATGAAAAATAAACACATCTGCTATGTTCTTTTACATATGTCATTTTGCTAATGCTTTACTTAAGCGTATTCCCTGCTTATTCCTAGCATGTACAGTGGGAGATTCTACCAGATGGGTCAAGCTGCAGGGAGCAGACAGTTCTCTGGTCCGTTATGGAGCAGTACACATTGCACTGAGAAGTTACTCATACAGCTATAGCTTTAAAAAAAAAAAGCCAATATTACTGTTACTTTAAACAACCCATAATCCTACGATGTGTCTCTGTCACTGTCACACGACCGAACAAATACCGCATTCCTCTCCCCCGTCTGAAACACAAATGGTAACAAGATGGAAGTCAACATCGGTTTTTAATATCGGCCCAGATTTGCTCATTTGAATGATACTGATATTTTAAAAATGGGAAGCATCAGCCAATACCAACGTTGATACCGATATACCATTAACCCTAGTTCAGATATGTAGCATATATACATATATGTACACATATAAACATATGTGTACATATATGGATATATTCTGTGTTATATATATATAACACAGTAGGAGTTGGATGTGTTCTTCTGTTATGGGTTTGTCACAAGAAAAGAACAAAAATCCTATTTGTTTGCATATTTAAGTAAACATTTCCAACTGACTTGTCATAGAAATATACAGGGACGCCTCTTAAAATCAGGTCACCAAGCAGGAAAGAGGGGAGTCTCTCAGCACAGACCAATATGGCCGCCATGTGTTAATAGCCACTATTATTGTGAGTAATAAACTATTTATGTGTGCTTCCGGCAACTTGAATCGCATTCAATCTTTCCCACTCACATGTGCTGCCTCCATTTGAACAAGTTGTTAGTGTTGAAAGCCTGAAATGTAGAGTTTGTCAGCTGGCCCAGTTTCACCAGTGGTAGCCATACCACAGCTGGACAAACAGATTTAGGTGTCTGCACAGCGTGACAGCTTCGAAACTGTTTGCTAAGGGTATGTTTTTTTAATATATTTTATTTATTCTTACAGGGAAAGCGACACTCAAGACTTGTATGACAATGTCCAGTGGAACAGCAGCGTCAGCAGCCAGCCTCCATGGTTACGCTTTCATCTGGGCATCACACGCTGGGAGCTCTACCCACACCGCGACCCCAACATGGAGCCTTTAACCCGGCAGCTCGCCACGCATCACATCGTCAGCGCAGGTACGGACATGTGCCGTGTTGGCTTCCCGCATTTATGCAGTGTTCTTTCTCTCTCCTGCTGAATAATTAAAGCGGAGGGGCCGGAGCTGTTTTGCACCCTCAATCAGGCGACTTGGGTGGATTTCCACGCAAGGAGAGAATTTTTAAGCGAAGTACAAAAATGTACTGATTTGAAATCAAATGGACAGACCTCTGAATCAGAACCCGGTGTGATTTTAAACGGAAACATCATTGGTATTCTTAGCCAAATGTGAGGTGGCAAACTAGGGGCCACAGAGAGTAAAGAACAAGGTATTCCTGCAACACCTGAGGTTTGGGGCTCGACTTTCAAACACAGGGTGACTTTGAAGTTCTTCTCAAATGAGAGAGACTGAAACTCGGGGAGAACCTTTGAGGTTCAATGCAGATGGAAGAGGGCTCGGCAGGTGATGGCCAGGAATGCACGAGTTGCTGGCTTTGCAGCAAACATCTTTGTGTCGGTCATGTGAGTTTCTTCACTGTTGAAGTTTTTGTTGTTGTCGTTTGGCTGAACCCTTTTGAGGTCAACCACAAAATCCCGATAAACGTAAACAAAAAGCACTTTAGTTTAAGTTCACCTGGAAATATGAAAACATATTTAAACTGAGAGCAAAAACAAATAATCTGCGACAATTATGTAACTATTGGGAATTAATGCGTTTGGGAAACTCAAGAGGAAATTGGCAAGAAAGCCACAATCAAAGCAGCAGAAAACCTGCGGTTGTGTGTGTTTGTGTGTGTGCGTGGGTGTGTGAGTGTGGGTGTGTGTGCATGTGTGTGTGTGCTGCGATAGTAACACTCTCTGTGCTTGTTTTTCAGTGCAGAAGTCCGGGGGGACGCAACTGAAGCTGGTGATGTCGTTTGCCAACTACGGACAAGCTCTGTTCAAGCCCAAGAAGTGAGTTGGAGAAGAAAAAACAAGCAAACAAACAAACAAACAAAAACACATTGACCGTTTAGCAAAGCCTGCACTAAATGTAATCTTCTTGAAATGGCTCCAGTAAATAAAAGGTTTAAAGTAGAGCATTGTTGGAAGGAAATCCAATTTCATGTATTATTCATCCCCCAAAGGGAGGTTATATAGCTGCAGTATACTGCATTCCAAAGACAGAATAAGCAAAGAGAGAATGAAAAAAACTGAATAACAATAATGACACAAAAAAAGCAGTTGGAAAACTGCTGGACAGAGGAAGTGTGGTGGGGGGTGTTACATCTCCAAGGCAGTCTAGGGGTATTGTAACAATTAATAAACCAGGGGAAACAAAGAGACAAAACCAGAAGGGTAAAGTTAAAGTCATTTTAAAGGTGAAGATGAGAACCTAAAGGAAAAGAAATGGGTGAGTAACAACAACTCCTCTATCGCCACACCACAAAGCTGCAGCACACATGCTGCCCAATTGGCCAAGAGGCCCTGAAAAGTCAGTTTCCCAGCTGGCTTCATACTCTGCTCATCAAGAGGCAGAGTGAAACCAGCCGGACCTGCTGGAGCTCAGCAGCAGCATGAAAAGGGGGGGAAAATACTACATGCAGCCGCTACTGCATATAGCAGGGGCTGATACCTTCACACTTCCCGCCACTCCTATAAAGTATATATAGTCAACTATTTTTAGTGACATTTCAGACAAAAAAATTAAAAAATCGGTACCGGCAGGTAGGAAAACTGCAATCGGTGCACCCCTAGAATATACGACGATAAAATATATTTCAAAATGTAAGTTCCCCTGGCACCAACTCAACAGGAAATCCTTAAAGAGACAAAGACAGACAAATTATTATGTTTCTGAGGCCACTGACTGTGTCTGCACAGGCCCCTTTGTTTTCAAATGGCAGAGTGTTACCTATTTTGAGGGGCAGCGTATAAATGATTGGACTAGACCCAGTCTGTCAATTGGTCTAGTCCAGAGGGCCCTCAAAGGCCTCTGAAGAATCGAGCAGAATTTACTAGAACCTGCACCAAGGAATCCTTCTGTTCCCGAGCAGACAGGAGCGAGACGAAGAGACCAACTACAACCTTTACTACTTCTCCGACTTTGAGCGACACAACGCGGAAATCGCCGCCTTTCATCTGGACAGGTAGACAAGCGCTTCATTAAAGCCCATCAATCAATTAAAACATTGGCTTAATGAAGGCGCGTTACGCAACGCTGCGCCTCAGATCTTCCTTCCTTCCTTCCTTCCCTCCCCCGCCAACTCGTTCTTTCTGCACTAGTCTCTCTTCTGGTCTCCCCCCTTCATCTCTCTGCAGGATCCTGGGCTACCGGAGAGTCCCTCCTGCAGTCGGGAGGCTGGTGGACGTGGTGAAGGAGATCAAAGATGTCACAACTGACCGCAAATTGGCGAAAACCTTCTTCAATTCCCCAGGTACACACACTCCTCAATTATTCATGCAGCCCTCTCGCTTGCAAGGCCTTTGAAATTCTGCATATAAACAAGTGGATTTCAGCCACGCGACTTCTCTGGGGTTTTTTTTTTTTTTCTTCCTAACCCAACCTCTATTTTTGGTTGTCTGCGCGTCTCTTTCTCCCTCTAGTGGGCAATGTGTGCTTCTATGGCCAGTGTTCCTACTACTGCTCCACGGAGCACGCGGTGTGCGGGACCCCCCGGAGCCTGGAGGCCTCGCTGGCCCTGATGCTGCCAGACGTGTCCCTGGCCAAACGCAGGAGCTGGAGGTCCCCATGGAGACGCTCCTACAGCCGCAGCAAGCTGGCGCAGTGAGTGGATTCCCGGGAAAAGTGGAGCTGCTCACAATCTGCTCAGAATCAGGACCAACGTGCTGAGAGATTTCAGTCGGTGTTTGTTTATGAAAAAAAAAAAACCCATGTGGATTTACAAGATGGTGAACTGCAGGTGAAAAAAAAGGAGTAAAATGTTGAGATTAATGTCAAAAATGTTCTAGAAAAAAGCAAAACAAAAACAAGGACATTTCTGAGTTTAAATGAAAAAATGTCCATGAAACACAAGAACATTTTCTACACATGAAAATTTGCTAGAAAAAAACACAGAAAAAAAACCTGGTTGTTTCTGAGTTTCAAGGAAAACAAAAAAAATATTGACTTTTGGAAATTTTCCGAGATTCAAAAGTCAGAAATTTTAGATTTTTGAAACGGCAAAATTTCCAAGTTCCTGTGGGATTAAACTCACAGGGTTATTTAATTTATTTTTTTTATTTTTGGCAGAATTGTCCTATGATTACCCTAATGCTAAGGAAGAATTGTTTTTTATTTTTATTTTTATTTTCAAATAAAATATGACTTTCCGTGTGTTTCAGATGGGAAACGGATCCTAATTACTGCATGAACGTGAAGAAGACCCCTCCCTATGACATGGGCACAAGACTGGTGGACTTCATAGATTTGGTCGTATTGGATTTCTTGATGAGTACGTTTATTCAAGACACTTTAATTTCAGTTTCTTCATATCCCATCCAGTCACAGCCAGCTCATCAGAACCTGTCAGAAAACTATCATTCAATTACTTGCATTCTAGTGACTTAGTTTTTTTTTTTTTTTTTTTACTAAAGATAGTAAGCAGCCAAATCACTTTTTAACGTCAGTTAGAAAATGTTATAAGCCCAGTCCGTGGCATTGGGTCATTGGTTTGTACCAAGTATAAGGTGAGTGTGGAGAGGAAAAACTTCGACTCAGGATGAAGAAAACAAAAACACAGCAAAAAGTTTCAATAATGTTATTAATAACTATATTATCATGCTTCATTAGAGTAGCAGCAAACCATTGCACTTTTCCCTTATTTACCCAAAATGAATTAGATTCTGTTAAACTTTTTTTTGTTTTATTTTACTTTCTGCGAGCACCACGACAGCCTTTCTAATGTCAGCCTGACTGATGCCTGATTCAAATGCAACTCAACTCAAGACATATTTTGTAGATCAAAAGATCCAAAAACGTCCACTCTAAAAGTTTGGTGCAGCTCTTTATTGCATGCAAAAAATGCAAAAATGAACAAACAAATAAACGAATAACACAAACAAACGAACAAAGATTAAAGAAACTGTCTTTGCCCAGTTTCTTTAATCTGCAGCAAGACTCAGATAACTCTGTTATGATATTAGCACACAGACATCAGATCAAAAATGACTTTTTATATATATAAAAAAGACTCAAGGTGACAAACAGACTTGATCTGAATGCTGTCTAGACAGATGACATCAAAACAGTTCAAGCTTTTCATACGAATCCATTTGATTTTTGAGAACTTCAGAGAGACGTGGAGCAGCCATTGAAAGCAGTGTACACATCTCAACTTTATAAGCAACAGTGTGAAAGCTAATATGACAAATGAAATGTCATATTCATTTTTCATGTTCAAATGAATATGACAATGTGGGGGAAAAAAATCAAATAATGAAGCATTCAATTTGTGTAGAGTTCAGATAGTCTGTTCTGCTACTCCATCCAAGGTCTTAAAATTTCATAATACAAATGGAATCATAAGAGAGAAAGTTTATAAAATGTACCTAAGAGTGACGCAAGTAATTCCTGACTGAATATAAATAAATAAAATTATACTGCATGTCCTAATTTAAAAAAAAAAAACCCTCATCCTTTAGGTATATTTTTTTAACATGTAAAATATCTTGTAAAATCAACTTTTTATTTTCTTCTCACGCTTTTCTTCTGATAAAGTGATTATGACACTGAGTGGGATCTTCAAAAGATTGTCTAAAATATTTTCTCCAAGCTTTATTGATCGGCGTCTGTCACAGTGAAACGTCAATCACCATAAACGGAGAACGGTTTCTGAAAACGGTTTCTGAAAACAAGTGACCTCGTCTCGTCGGTCATCCCAACAGCAGCACAAAGAACTTCTCGAACAAGGGACGAAAACGAGATTTATTGATTTAGTTTGTTTTTCAAACGAAAACAAGAGGACAAGAGGTCTGTTTTCACTTCCGCCCCTGACAACCTCCCGTCAACACAATTCACTGCGCGTTACCATAACAAGGAGCTTGTCGCCTTGGTTCCCTCACAACTTTTCCCTGCGCAGGTAAGAAAGTTGCTAAATTGTTCTCCCCCCCCATTTATTCATTTGTAATTTGTTTGAGAGCGCGCGTTATGTTTCAAGTATCCGTCCACGTGTATAATTGGCACTTTACTTAATTTAGTTTTTTATTCGCAGACACTCGAATAATTTTATTATCATTTTGTTTCCTGCGAGTCGTCGTGTGCCGTCGAAATGCTAGCATAGTCAGCTAACGAGAGCGGAGTGGATACTCACATTTAGCTTAGCAATTTTTTAAATTTTTGTCACGCAGCAGTGATGGGAAACAGACAAAACTGCTGTGAACTACTGAAAAAACCCCAGTGCTATTTAGAAAGAAACTTAATGTAGTTGTGCTGTGAGGTAGTTAATGCTTGTCAATAATTTAACCAAACTGCCACCCGTTGTATAAATATTCCTTTCATTGTTATCTTGCTTGGTTGACTGTATATTTTAAAGCTACAGTGCCAACAAAATTCCCACTCTCTGAACCTTTTCACACTTTGCCACAAACTGTCTTGTGTTTTTCTGTGATATTATGAGGTGCACTAACATGAAGTAGAGAAAGGCCAAGGATATGTGCTTTTTACATTTTCTTCCAAATAACAGTCTGGAAAGTGTGGTGTGGAAATGGTTTGGTATCTTTGAAGATATCCCAAAAGATTTTGGGCTATATACTTCACTACCTCTGAAGGTAGTATTGTCAACTACCTTCAGAAGTCAACTAATGAATACACAGAGTCCATTTGTTAGAGAACAAAACTTCATTTTGGATTAAAAAAAAAGATATCCCAAGCTTTCGAAAAGCTTGGGATACCAACATGTATGAGGGTGTTGGTTCACCTCCTGACAGAACGGAAATATTAAACATAAAGTTGGAGCAGCAAAGGCTGGACTGGAAGCA